ATTAACATTATATAACAGGTTTTCAATTTTTTTAAATTAAGTTCACTACAGCTACAACCAGGGTCTTATTTTCTTTTGTTTCTTATGTAGAACCATCGTCACTCACGAAAACAATGCCGTCTCATCTCCTAGTGTGCGTTTTAGTATTCTACTCAGTTGCTACCTGACCCAGCTTGGAGAAGGATATGCTCCCAAGTTCTCCCGTAGTGACCAAGGAAAATGACCGCCTTGGATCGTTGTGTCTTGGGGGAAGAGGAGAGTAGTGTGGGGAAAGACGACCTCTTGGCCACTCTGCTAAGGCAGCTGGGGCAGTTGAGGAGTGAGGTTGACACTCTAAAGGGGGAAAATGAAGCCCTCAGGACTGAACTCCTCCAGGTAGGTGTCCTGCCTAGCAGGACACCTGCGAAGGAGGAGCAGGCGTGGAGAGTGGTTGTCTCCAAGGGGACTAGGGTCAGGCTCAGGAAAGCTGACCAGGGTGTGGAATGTAGGAACCCCTACCAGGTGCTGGAGGAAGCTGGCGAGGAAGAGAAGAGGCAGGAAAGTGTGGTGCAGGTAGAGGAAAGGGCAGTTGTACAAACCCTGCCCAGAGGTAAGGTCGTGGTAGTTTGGGACAGCCAGGTGAAGTTTTTAGATAGGACTTTTTGTACAAGAGATAGGAAATGTAGAACTAGGGTGTGTTTTCCTGGGGCTGGGATAGGGCATGTAGCTGAGAGGTTAGACAGGGTTTTGTCAGGGGAGGGTACCAGTCCAGTAGTGTGTCTTAGTGTGGGAGGAAACGACATAGGAAAGGTTAGGAGTGAAGAACTTTTCAAGAGGTATAGGGAGGCGCTGGGGAAGATTAGAGGTAGGGGAGGGATCCCGATAGTATGTGGTGTCTTGCCTAGAAGAGGGGTTGGTCGTGAATGGCTGTCCAGGGCAATTGCTATAAATTGCCGACTGGAAAAACATTGTGCAAACAATGGTTGGGCATTCATTGATAGCTGGCAACGACTTCCTGTACATTCGTGACGGAGTACACTTGTCTCGTGCGGGGGTAAAGACGTTGTCTGCATCCCTGGAGCGTGAAATTGTCACTCCAAATGGGGGGTTTCGCCAGTAGAGAGAGGTCGGGGAAAGTGGGAGTCAAAAAACAAGCAGGTTCTGGGAAGTAAAATTAGTTACTCAGGACAAGGGGTAAAACAGGACCAGGGAAGGGTAGGTTTAAATGTATACTATACAAACAGTAGGAGCGTTAGAAATAAAATACACTTGCTGAGAGCGGTTGTATGCACTGAGAATGTAGACGTCATAGCAATCACCGAAACTTGGATGAATCTGGCGAGCAAAAATTTTTTATCAGAGTACCACATAGAAGGGTAAAACCTTTTTCACAAGGACAGGGAAGGTAGGAAGGGGGGAGGGGTCGCACTCTTTGTCAAGGATACATTAAAATGTTGTATTAATAATTCAATAAAGGGTGAAATGGGAACCGAGTCTGTATGGGTAGAAATCACGGAAGGAAGAGAAAAACTAATTATGGGAGTGATTTACAGGCCCCAAGGTCTGGGCAAAGAAGCAGCTCAGCCCACATGGCAGGAAATGAGTAGGACAGCAAAATATAACAGCCTATGCATTATGGGGGATTTCAACTTCAGAAATATTGACTGGGACAACAATGTAGGTGACTATGAACCTGAAGACTTCCTAGATGCAGTTCAGGACAATTTTTTGAAACAACTAATTACAGAACCTACTTGAGGTGACAATATATTAGACCTAGTATTAACAAATAAAGAAAATATTATCAGAGATATCACAGTAGGGGAAGAACTAGGTGACAGTGATCACAGAGATATCAGGTTCACCCTAAATTGGGAAACAAAAAACAATGACAATATGGTCAGAGTGCGAAACTTTCGGTTGGCGGATTATCAGGGATTAAGAAGGTACCTAGGTGAGGTCACCTGGGAACAGTCATGTCAGTCCTCAGTAGGAAGGGGTGAGATCATAGATGCCTTAACACAGCCATACATAATGTTAACTTACCACGAGGGAGGGAGGAAGGCCCACAAATTAACATTTACTAACAATAATAAACCAGACGACCACGTTAGTCGTACTGTGTCTTAGTTATTACCTTAACACAGCCATACATAATGTTAATTTACCACGAGGGAGGGAGGAAGGCCCACAAATTAACATTTACTAACAATAATAAACCAGACGGCCACGTTAGTTGTACTGTGTCTTAGTTATTACCTTAACACAGCCATACATAATGTTAACTTACCACGAGGGAGGGAGGAAGGCCCACAAATTAACATTTACTAACAATAATAAACCAGACGGCCACGTTAGTTGTACTGTGTCTTAGTTATTACCTTAACACAGCCATACATAATGTTAACTTAGCAGGAGGGAGGGAGGAAGGCCCACAAATTTAACATTTACTAACAATAATAAACCAGACGACCACGTTAGTTGTACCGTGTCTTAGTTATTTAAGGGAAAGGAAGAAGAGAAATTAAAGAATATCACTATCAGAAAAGAGGATGTTCTTAAGAAGATAAATAAACTAAAGAAAACAAAATCCCCAGGGCCGGATGAAATTTTCCCCCGAGTCTTGAAAGAGTGTAGGGAACAGATTAGCGGACCCCTCGTAAACTTATTTACAAAATCATTAGACACTGGAGTTGTGCCAGACTTGTGGAAACAGGCAAATGTATTACCCATTTTCAAAAAGGGAGACAGAGCATCAGCGTCAAATTACCGGCCGATCAGTTTGACGTCAGTAGTGGGGAAATTTCTTGAATCAATTATAGCAGATAGCATCTATCGCATCTAGAGAAAAGCAAATTAATCTACGACTCTCAGCATGGGTTTACAAAGGGAAATCTTGCCTAACAAATCTGCTAACGTTTTTTAGGAAAGTCTTCGAGGTAGTAGATAATGACGAAAATTACGATGTTATTTACTTACTTTAGCAAAGCATTTGACAGAGTACCGCATCAGAGGCTTCTGAGAAAAATTAAGGCTCATGGTATCGAGGGGAAAGTTTTAAATTGGATAAAATCATGGCTCACCGATAGAACGCAGAGGGTCAGCGTAGATGGTGTTAAATCTGAGTGGGGCCGTGTAACCAGTAAGGTTCCCCAGGGGTCAGTACTAGGCCCACTCTTGTTCATAATCTACATAAACGATCTAGATACTGGGATCAGCAGTGACATAAGCAAGTTTGCGAATGACACCAAAATAGGGCGACAAATTAATTCAGGGCAGGATGCAAATGCATTACAGGGGGATCTAAATAAACTGCAGGGGTGGTCTGAAAAATGGCAAATGAAATTCAACACCAGCAAGTGCAGCGTACTTAATACTGGAAGAACAAATACTTATAATGTATACAGCCTTAACAACATCAACCTAGAGAAGTCGACTTGTGAAAGAGACCTAGGGGTACTTGTAAGCCCGGACCTACGGCCTAGAAAACAGTGCGTTAATATTCGAAATAAGGCAAACAGAGTATTGGGTTTTATATCTAGAAGTGTAAGTAACAAGAGTGCAGAGGTCTTATTGCAACTATATCTTGCGCTAGTCAGGCGCACCTCGATTATGCGGTTCAGTTCTGGTGCCCCTATTATAGAATGGATATAAATTCACTAGAGTCGGTGCAGCGAAGAATGACGAAAATGATTCCGGGACTTAGAAACCTTCCATATCAGGATAGGTTAAAGAAACTTAACTTGCATTCCCTAGAAAGACGAAGAGTGCAGGGAGGTATGATAGAAGTATTTAAGTGGGTGAAAGGAATCAATAAAGGGGATATAGATAAAGTTCTTATAATATCCGAGCAGGATAGGACTCGGAGCAACGGATTTAAGTTCGATAAGTTTAGGTTTAGGAGCGAGATAGGAAGAAACTGGTTCACAAATAGGGTGGTGGACGAGTGGAACAAGCTTAGCAACTTTGTAGTAAGTGCTGGAACGCTGGAAAGTTTTAAAAGGAGGCTGGATAGATTCATGGAGGATAGAGAGTGGTAGTAACTCGACAGGAGCTGCCATGCACAGGCCAACCGGCCTATTGCAGACTCCTTATGCTTTTAACACAGCCATACATAATGTTAACTTACCACGAGGGAGGGAGGAAGGCCCACAAATTAACATTTACTAACAATAATAAACCAGACGACCACGTTAGTTGTTGTTGATCTGCTACAACTTGTCCGATTCTCTCTCTTATCTTTCAGTAATTACAACTTTTAATTATTATCATTTTACTAATTGTATTGTAATAATAAATAATAAATAACAAATACATTATGTTTTAATTATAATGGCAGTTATTGAATGAATTCCCCTAATATTAATACATTATTGTTAAATAACTTAAGTCAGTGACTAGAGAACCGAAAAATTTACACCATTTACTTATTCACGAAAATCTATTTAAACAATAAACTTTTGTGTTTAACAATTTAAAGTTTATTTATTAATATTTAACACTATATATAAGTTTATAACGCCATAATAAACTCGCTATTTTAACTATTTATAATAATATTATTAACGGTAACTATTAGTCTGAAACTACATAATTATTCAGCAATAATTATAGATAAATAATTAAGTATATAGTTAATAATGATTAAATACTAATTATATTATTATTGATTAAGTCCTTCTTGAATGATGAGTACCACACAATTATGCCCTGGGTGTGGCTATGAATAGAGGTGTGGCTATGAATAGAGGTGTGGCTATGAATAGAGGTGTGGCTATGAATACAGAGGTGTGGCTATGAATACAGAGGTGTGGCTATGAATACAGAGGTGTGGCTATGAATAGAGGTGTGGCTATGAATAGAGGTGTGGCTATGAATACAGAGGTGTGGCTATGAATAGAGGTGTGGCTATGAATACAGAGGTGTGGCTATGAAAACAGAGGGGCGTGGCTATGAAAACAGAGGGGCGTGGCTATGAAAACAGAGGGGCGTGGCTATGAATACAGAGGGGCGTGCAAGGTATATAAATTGGTCTCACGAAGTCTATGACATGTCCTCAGTGACCGCTTAGGCTCCGAGAAGGGAAGACGTGTGTCGCTACAGAAAAGCTTATTGAGAGAAAAGAAGTTTGTTAACAGAAAAGCTTAAAAATGGGCAATAAAGTGGCAGCCTTCTCAGAGGAGCAGCTAAATGAATACCAAGTGTGTGGACTTAACGTAAATTAACCCAACCTAACCCCACCAGGTAGCTTTAGGTGAAATAAGCTATGTTCCCTAATCATCTCCTTAAACTTACTATACAATATATATATATATATATATATATATATATATATATATATATATATATATATATATATATATATATATATATATATATATATATATATATATATATATATATATATATATATATATATGTGTGTAATTGTAGAGTTTCACATACTTTTTATACACGTTGACGAAAATATATATATTTTTTCAGGCCTGTACTTTTTTGACGAGGAAAAATATATTGAGGTAAGTTGCTCTAATTAACTGTTATACATACATACATACATACATACTTACTGTACATACATACATACATACATACTTACATACATAGGCAGATAAACAGATAGATAAATTTAGATAGACAGACAGACAGGCAAAAAAAAAAAATACAATAACTAATCCCAATAATAACTTTACGCCAGGCTAAGGTTCGCCCGTCTTTTACAGAGCTGAGCGTCTGTTTCGACAAATTAGCAATGATCGATGGCCGGAAGTCGTGACCAGAGAATGTGCCTCGTCCTTCTCTGTTCCTTATTCTTCCCTTGATTCTCTCACTGAGCTTAAGGTGAGAGAGAGAGAGAGAGAGAGAGAGAGAGAGAGAGAGAGAGAGAGGTGTGTGTGTGTTTTTTGGTGGGTAGTGGTGGTGGTAGTAGTAACCCACTAACCCACACTATTAACCCACACAGGAGAACCCATTCCGAAGACGTGTGTGTCAGATCTTCAGTACAGACGGCTCGGCTTCCCTGACTTTCGACCAGTTCCTAGAGATGTTTTCGGTCTTCAGTGAACACGCCCCCAGGGACATTAAGGCCATCTATGCCTTTAGACTCTACGGTAAGGGCCATTTATGCCTCTAGGAAGTATAATGCTGGTCATATATGCCTCTTGAGTTCATTTACCCCTAATAATTCTTTACCTCCACTTATATCCACTTCATAAGTAACATCAACTTATATTTACTTAAAGATTTCGACAGCGATGGCTACTTAAGTGAGCAAGATTTACTCCATACTGTGAAACACTTAACACTCGACCTGTTAAACCCAGACGAGTATTCTACCATTGTCGCCAAGGTCAGTATCTTCCTGACACACCCTGATACTTCCTGATATCCCCCTGACACCTTCTGATACTTCCTGATATCCCCCTGACACCTTCTGATACTTCCTGATATCCCCCTGACACCTTCTGATACTTCCTGATATCCCCCTGACACCTTCTGATACTTCCTGATATCCCCCTGACACCTTCTGATACTTCCTGATATCCCCTGACACCTTCTGATACTTCCTGATATATCCCCCTGACACCTTCTGATACTTCCTGATATCCCCCTGACACCTTCTGATACTTCCTGATATCCCCCTGACACCTTCTGATACTTCCTGATATCCCCCTGACACCTTCTGATACTTCCTGATATCCCCCTGACACCTTCTGATACTTCCTGATATCCCCCTGACACCTTCTGATACTTCCTGATATCCCCCTGACACACCCTGATACTTCCTGATATCCCCCTGACACCTTCTGATACTTCCTGATATCCCCCTGACACCTTCTGATACTTCCTGATATATCCCCTGATACACACCCTGATACCCCCCTGACACCTTCTGATACTTCCTGATACCCCCTGACACCACCTGACTTCCTAACAACCTCTGAAACACCAAATTAATGACATTATGAAGAAATTTACAATATTTTATCAGACGTACACTTAATCTCTAGTCCCCCCCCCCCCAAAAAAAAAACCAATTGATAATTTTAACATAATTTTTAACGTACATAAATATTAACTTTATTGTTCTCTTAGGTTCTGGAGGAAGGAGACGTTGATTGTGATGGAAGAATTTCACAGTCAGAATTTATCCATGTCATTCTCAAGAGCCCAGACTTCGTTCCTAATTTCCATATCCGGATTTAAAGTCAGATTGCAATGACGTCACATGTTTTATTATTATTATTATTACGTATTATTATCCATCATCATTCTTCTCTATAACAAACAAACACAAAACTCATGTTACTTGAGTAATTGGTTAGCGTGTTGAGCTTGGGCGCGGCCTTCCATTACCCATATGAACTACCGTACATTACCCACGCAATCCTGCCTTAATACATAAATACGATGTTTTGTGTTTGATTTTCACCTTTAAGGGAAAAATGTGGTTAAAATAATGTAAAGTATTGATTATTGTAGTAAATAAAGTAGTAATCAAAATATTATTGTATTATTTATCATTTTAAATTATACACTGATGTATAAATAGTGTATAATTGTCGTAATAGGCGATGTGAAAAGGTATGTAATAATGTAAACAACCTGAAAATCCCTCGGTTGTCATGGTAACGTGTAAACATCTCACGGTCGTCATGGTAACGTGTAAACAACTCACGGTCGTCATGGTAACGTGTAAACAACTCACGGTCGTCATGGTAACGTGTAAACAACTTTCCCTGGAGATCAAAGACACACTCGTTCCTTCATATAGCATAACAACGATGGCGCCCAAAGGAAAGAAGGCGGGAAAGAAGAAAGGAGGGAAGAAGAGAGATAAGAAAGAAGATGAAGAGGAAGGAAAAGGAAAGGAAGTCATTACAGAGTTGGATAAACATTATTATCTCAATCAAATACAGGTAAGGTGTTTCATTATTTCTACCTGCCTCTCTCTCTATTTATCCATCTACCTACCCACCCACCTATCCATTTACCTTACCAACTACCCACTTGTCTAACTATCCAATTATCCGTCTTATCTAACCATCCATCCAGGCACTAGAGGTTAAAGTCAAACGTTCAACAACTAAATGTGAACAACTGGACGAAGCTGAACAACACGCAAGGGCCCAGTATGACAAGTTACACGCTGATAAGACGGATATCATCAATTTCCTCAAAGACAGGTGAGTCACTGGCGATCCTGTGTGCTCGTGCTGGCGTTGAGAGATTTATTTGGTGGGTGTATATGTGGGGTGGGTAGGTTTACTGGTGATCGTGAGTGCCTGTGCTGGTGATAGTTGTGTTAGATTGTGGATTCAGTTCAATTAGCATAACCAAACTCAGCCCATCTTAACCTAACCTGACCTTTCAGCCTACACTAACCCAGCCTAAACTAACCTTTCAGCCTACACTAACCCAGCCTAAACTAACCTTTCAGACTACACTAACCCAGCCTAACTTAACTTTTCAGCCTACACTAACCTTTCAGCCTACACTAACCCAGCCTAAACTAACCTTTCAGCCCACACTAACCCAGCCTAAACCAACCTTTCAGCCTACATTAAGCCAGCCTAAACTAACCTTTTCAGACTACACTCAACCCAGCCTAACTTAACTTTTCAGCCTACACTAACCTTTCAGCCTACACTAACCCAGCCTAACTTAACCTTTTACACTAACCCAGCCTACACTAACCTTTCAGCCTACACTAACCTTTCAGACTACACTAACCCAGCCTAACTTAACCTTTCAGCCTACACTAACCCAGCCTAACTCAACTTTTCAGACTACACTAACCTTTCAGCCTACACTAACCCAGCCTAACTTAACTTTTCAGCCTACACTAACCTTTCAGACTACACTAACCCAGCCTAAACTAACCTTTCAGCCTACACTAACCAAGCCTAACTTAACCTTTCAGATTATCAAACAAGAGCGACGAGGTGGAGGAATTGAGAAGTCGACTGTCTGGTCTAGTGAAAGCTAAACGCGCAGAGCAACAGGAATATGAGGTGAGTGAGACAATGTACCTTTAACTGTAATAACTGTACCTTTAACCACAATAACAAATATTAACCACAATAACTGTACCTTTAACTGTAATAACTGTACCTTTAACCACAATAACAAACATTAACCACAATAACTGTACCTTTAACTATAATAACTGCACCTTTAACCACAATAACTGTACCTTTAACCACAATAACAGTACCATTAACCACAATAACTGTACCTTTAACTGCAATAACTGTACTTTAACCACAAAAAACTGTACCTTTAACTGTAATAACTGCACCTTTAACCACAATAACTGTACCTTTAACCACAATAACAGTACCATTAACCACAGGAAAGGCTCTCGACTCTGGCCAAGGAAGCCGAAAACACCAGACTTGACCTCAACGACAAGATTATAGCATTAACCAGGAAATTGGAGAGTTTGGAGGAGTTTAGACAACACAAGGAGGAATTGGAGGCCAAACTTTGTAACTTGGAGGAGGAGCTAGTGAAGAACAACGAGAAGCATCAGGAAAAGGTGAGAGAGAGAGAGAGAGAGAGAGAGAGAGAGAGAGAGAGAGAGAGAGATGAATAACAAAAACATTCATAAAAAGACGAAAAACAAAAATCCTTGACTATTTACAAACACAACCGTGACCCTAAATAACCTTATCCACTAGTTAACCCCCCCCCCTTTGCCCCCTATTAAGGTTAGTTTCCTGGAGAAGGCGTCATTGGTGGAGGCGGCAGCTCTGAGGGCCGAACTGGAGGCTCGAATCACCCGGATCACCGAGGATTTACGTCGAGCTGCGCAGACCGAGGTTCATTCGACCACCCGACGCGCACTTCACGAGAATGAAGCCCTGACGAAACAGCTTGATGTGTTTAGGGAAAAAATTAGCGCCTTCAGAGCTGAGAATCAACAACTTAGGGATTCTTTATCAGATTCTCAGGTAAGGGATCATTTAAGACCCTAATTTAAGGGATTTTTAGGCCTATTTTAAGAATAGGGCTTAGACTCTACCTACACTAACCCCTGACAAACGAAAAAAAGAGATTAAGAGAAAAGATTAATCAATCCTTTATGACTTAAGAACATCAGAACAATAACTATCCTCTTTCCTTCAGGTAAGAGAGGGCCTTCTTCAGGATACCGTCACCAGCGTTACAGCCAGAGGTGAACAGCGTGCCCGGCTTCTACAGACAGTGACGGAAAGAGCGGAGCAACACAGCCATATATGGGTCGACTATGATCGCTTAGTACGAGAAAATAATCAACTGAGACGCGATTTGCAGGCGAGTTGGTGGTTATTTGGAAGAGGTGGCAGTGTTTTATGGTGTTTTAATGTGTCTTGTGATGTTTTATGATGTACTATGGTGTTTTAATGTTTTTATTTATATTTTTTAGCATTTAAATCCCTTGATATAACCTAGTCTTTGAGCAATGTTTGGAATCTTTAAAATCCCCGATGTGATCAACCGTTCCTAATAAATCAGATATAATCCTTCTAACAAAAATCCCCAGGTCATGCAAGGTCAACTGGACGCGTCAACCCAGGCATCGTGTGACCTCCGCGAAAAGGCCGCTGAAAAGGACGCCGCTCTGGAGGTCACGACGTCTCATCTAAAACAACAAGACGCGGCTCGGAAAATGCTGCATAATACTGTCAAGCTGTCATTGTCTCTCCTCCATCATGCTGCCTTTATGGTCAGTACTGTATGTCTGCCTGTCATCTATGGGGTTAGGTTGGATTATGTTAGGTTGGAGTAGGTTATGTTAGGTTGTTTAGATTTGGTTAAGTTCATGTAATGTTAAGTTAAGTTAGTGTTAAATTGGGTTAGATTAGGTTAAGTTGTGAGAGGTCTGGTTAAGTTAGACTAAGGTTAGTGTTAGATTAGGGCAAGTTAAGAGGTTAAATTAACAACCAAATCTAATAACCACATTGATATTTCTTTAACCAAATTAACAACCCTTTCACCTCATAACCACCTCAAGTAAATAATATGACCTGACATGACCTTAAATAACGTTTCACCTTCAGTAAATAATAAGACCTCAAATGACCCAACTTGACCTTTGACCTACAGGATGATGATGAGGCAGATGGTGATCACTTAGCTGGCACCCTCGAACAACTGGTCAGTCTCTTATCCTCAGCCGAGAGTTCCCAGACGATATCCTACACACCTCCTACCACCCAGAGTGCAGCCGTGACTCCTGACTCCCCGCCACACCATGCCCAGGAAGAGGTCACAGAGAATCTCGGTCAGGTCAAGTATCGTGCCGGTGACCTAGGGTTGTTGCCCCGCCCTCATCGGAAAGCAAAGACTCAATCTGCAGTTACTGATTGACCTAACTTAACCTGATCTAACCTAACCTAACTAAATCTGGACTAATTTAACACTAACCTAACCAACTGACTTGTTTCCATGTTTAGGCAAAAATTCCCACGAGTCTACTAAAAAATTCCCACATCTATGCCGAGAATTCCCACAGATTTCCCTCAAATTGCAAAAAAAAAATCCACAACTTTGTCCATAATTCCCACAACTTGGGCAAAATTCCCACATCCAATATATAACAGTTGAGTTATTATATATAGTTATAATACAATATAGACCTATAATATAACAGATATATAATTATAATTTATATAAACTAGTTGTACTAACTCTCCATATATAAACAGTACTATAAAATTTTAAAGAATATTATAACATTTCGGATTATAGAATTGTTATACTGTATGTTTAATTCAGTGATATAAAATAAACATTTGATATATAATTACCGATGTGCATATTTATATAGTTCATTAGATTGAAGTTCCACATATAATGGACCCTTGATATAATAGACTTTCATCTCTATACAGTCCATTATATACATTCCACATATAATGGACCCTCAATATAATGGACTTTCATCTCTATTAACCCATTAAATATCCTTCACTTCACATCACCACAAACAAAATGTAAACACTAACATTATTTTAATACGTCAACCCATAAATAATTTCTCGCCTCCATAAACGTAAAATGAATAACATCAGTAAATCATTCCAATACGTCCTTACCCCTATCCCAGATGATACAATATGTCCATTAATACCCTAATAACAGTATACTCTCTTAAATTTATAAACACCCTGTATAATACTTCGAGATAAAGTTTATATATCGAGTGTCTTCAAGAGAGCTCAGGTTCTCAATCATCTTCACCATATTAGTTGTATTTTTTTTTTAATTGACTGTGTTCTAGCTAAATAAACTGTTTCAATATCAATACCTATTCCAACAATTTCTACTTCTACCTATTGTATTCTCTACAATTTCTACTTAGTGTATTTGATCTACGTTTAACTACTGTATTATCAACTTCTTGGTGAATTAATTTTACCAAGTTCAATTCAAACACCAAATACTGAACAGGTATTTCAACCAGGCTACCTCACCTAATACAACTAATTAAGCTTACCAAATACACCTACAAAAGCTTGAATGCTGGTAGATAAACCCCTCCTACAGCTTGACGAGACAGAACACTGCTTAAAACGTGATGCTTGACTAATGCTCGAACATAAAAACTTGACTAATGCTTGTTGCTGGACAGAACAAGCTTAAAACTTCAAGCTTAGGTAGCGGATAATGGTTAAGAGCGTTGAATAACCTCTGCAGTGCAACTTTGACCTGAAATATAAGCTTATCTTCACTATGTGGTTTAGAGAATGACACTCAACTATGGTCCAAAAGTTAAATTATTTTCAAATTAACTATGGTAATAACTCTTCCATAAATATAATCATTTCTTTTTCCTCTCATCATTCTTCAACCACAGTATTCCTCAATTTCAATTCTCTATCTTAAAATCAAATTTATTATGTTAAGAAGTTACAATTCACATAATTCAACTTTGACTCCACAGCAAAATTTTTTATATAACCCCAAATGGTCATAAGAAAGGTACCACATGAAGATTAGGCACCCCAGCTAATTTAACCCAACTCAACACCCTAATGCTACCTAGGGATTTAGGGTGTCTAATCATCAGGTGAAATAAACTTGGGTGTCTAATCTACACAAACTACTATAAAATATATACGGTATTAATCAAACAATATATATATTTTCATTTATTTATTGAGTCAAAAGTAACGACATACTTACCAAACGGACAAATTTCCTCTTGAATAAATTCTTCGTCTTGATAAAAAAAAAAAAATTCACATAACTATGAATGGAATCTATGTATAATGACACGATACATAGAATACAGCCATGTGTCATTATGTATACAGTATACCAAGAGACTCAATGGACAAAAATAGCACTGGAAAATTCTCATCAAAAGGCTGTTTTTTTTTTGTAAATTCTATCTCAATTCTCATCATATCCCGAGTGACTTCTGACGGGAGTTGTTTAAATAATAATAATAATAATAACCATAATTTGACTTGCTATAAATCGTTCTACAATCACATTTATAACCTGTAATCCTCCTTCCTACTACACAACCACAACCTGTAAGAAATACGTTCTCAAATTAATTCGTATATAACTAATCCACCATTGTCGCCTACTCCAGCAAACTAGACGCTGGGATTAACTTGACATTCCCCAGATCAAACACAGGACGTCCGACGACAAGCCATCGCCCATAACTGGCCATTTGTACACTTGAGAGTTTTATTAATGGCCCACACTTCAATATACAATTCCACAGCCGTCAACCCCCATAAAATATTCTCTGAAAAATCACACAAATGAGGAAATTGTTTATATATTGCGTAAAAATCGGCTAAATACAATGGACCCCAAAACTTATAGACATCGTTGGCTAGAGACTGACACTTGGTTAATGAGATACGAAGTCTGGTAAATAATCCAGTCCTGTAAAAGACCCACGTGGTGCTACAGACGTTGACAGAATCGAACTATAATAGAACGCAATGGGCGAGATTAAACCACCCAATCAGCATGAAGAAGAGGAAATGAATGCTGTACAATACATAAAAAACATTAAGTTAACACTGCGATGCACTCCCTGTAAAAGAAGTAATTAATTAAGCTCAGAAACCCAATACCTGAATCAATATATATATATACAGCGAAGCCTCCTTATAATGAACACCGATCTAACCTCATCAGTGTCCGTTATAAGGAGGTTTTAATATATAACGGACTACCCTCTCTCTCGTGTAGTCTGCCATGTACTGTACTATTTTTCATATATAACAGACCACATAACATCTGGTCCATTATATACACACGATACTGTATCATATATCAACACATAAATATATAGTATGATCCAGTAGGCTTTATATATTACTTCAAATAGCTCTATATATTATCAAAGTTAATAAAAGAGTCACCTTCTTCTCAGTAATCATCAACGCCTCGACGTCGGAGCTCTGTATAAATACTCGGCCAACGCGTCATTGACCCGCTGACCCAGGAATAGAGACAACCCCAAGGGAAAAAATTAAAATTAAAAATGATAAAATTAACTAAACGGTTCCTAAGTAATTAATGCAACTGGTGGTTAGCGGGGAAACGACGCGGTTGGGCAATAGAATACAGAGCTCCGAGCCATGGGGGCCTATAGTCTTGGATGGTGCACAGGATGGAGTTTTTACTGCACATTAAAAAAAATAAATAAATGAATAAAATAATTAGCCCCATGAACTCCCCTCCCCCTTCACTATGACTGATCCGCTAACATAACCTGCACGTAGGTAGCCAATACAAGCCGCCGCCCAACACCCGGCCCCCCACCCCCCCCTTCTTAGCGTTGCAAGGGTCGCCACAGCTGCAGCAAGTCACCATAGCAAGGTGACCGCACGCAGTTGCACAGTCGCATCCCAGGGCACCAGAGAGTCAACAGTCAGGAGAACAAGACAATTCAGTAGTTTCGGTAGTTAAGTGTGTGTGTGTTTAACTCGACAATATTACCTAACTAAGCCCAGACACAATAGTTCTCGTGTTTAAGGTAGACTAAAAGCGATGTCTGGGCTCACGGTGATCCCTAATTGGGCCGCTTGATAGTCCGCTTTAATCTCAGGTTGTTTGGACTCCCTGTGGAGGTGTGAGGCCGAGACGATAAGGATTTTAACAGGATGGAGGAGGCAGGGAGGTCGTGTGTGAGAGAAGTAAGGGGGGAGGAGGGGCAAGGTGTGTGTTGTAACGAGGAGGAGGAGATTGGCGAGGGATGGGGAGCTGAGTTAATGATGAGGGAGGTGAGGATGTGTGTGTGAGACAGTACGAGGGGGGGGAGTAAGCATGTGTGGTGTGTGAGTGAGAGAGAAGAATGGTGCCCTGCGAGTGAGTACTGCGGCCCCCCCGTCGGCTGCATGCCTGCCTGACTGACTGGCTCTGCCTCGGCTCCATTACACCGCACTACAGCAACACTCCACAGCAACACAACAGCAACAACTGCCACGCCCTGTGCGCGTAGAAATACACATCAGCACATGGCCACTACAGTACAAAATACACACATTACTTCTCACTCTTACCGAACCTTAGGAATAGTAAAGTACTTTTTTGTGACCTTTCATGTCCATTTTATTTCCTAAGCATACAAAGTTAATGCACAATGACTAAGTGTAATTCTGACAAAAAAAATTCATTTGGAAAGCTTAATATATATATGAGACAATGTTGGTATAGAAGCTCCTAATATTACTGCCAACACACTTAGAACTATCTTGTCTGCATTCAACCATTTAACATTAGCCATAAAACACAGAGGTGATGGTGATAATGACCGAGGTTACCGCTACGCATTATCACCGCCCCGGTCGTTAACGGAACAAAAAGAATACGCGGTGATAATGGACTCTCCACCACCTCGTGTCCTTGTTAAGTGTAAAATTAAGAGAAAATTAACCAAAAAAACATCTTAAAATCCAATTATTCACTTTAATCTATTCTAAGGTAAACCAAAACTCTGGTGAAACAGGTGTAGGTGTGTGAGGGTAGGTGTGTGTGAGGGTGTGGGTGTGTGTGTGGGTGTGTGGTGGGAGGTGTGTGGGTGGGGTGTGTGTGTGGGTGTGTGAGGGTAGGTGGGTGTGGGGGGGTGGGTGTGTGAGGGTGGGTGGTGTGTGTGAGGGTGGTGTGTGTGGGTGTGGGTGGGTGGTGTGTGTGTGTGTGTGTGTGTGTGTGTGTGTGTGTGTGTGTGTGGTGTGGGTGTGTGTGTGTAATAGACAGTACACAACTAATGAGCAAAGGTGGGCCAACAGGTTGAAATATATACAGGTAATAAAATAACTGCTTCAATATCCTTTGCTCCTATCAGAGTTTAGGAGAAAAGACAACAATAGTCATCGTAGGCTCGACATGGGCTTGTCAGAGTGAGAGAGAAATAAAAGTAAATGGCCAATTGTTAATCTTCAAGAATGTCAAGGTAGAGTGGGATCCGTTCTTAATTTTATTGTCGCACGGGGCCCGATACGACGCAGCCTGCGAGGAAAGACGATAGCGGTCCCGGCAAATAAACGGACGTCACACTAGCGGCACCTACAATGGTCTAGGCCGCAGTATACGCGATAGACGGACCAAATCCCGTTAGCTTTACGTTACGGCTATCGTCTACGAGGCGGATAAATCTTTCCCGGTGGTTCATTCGCGGGCTGAGACGTATGGGACTGAGGCGCAGGTTAAGTAAGAGCGGACGATCCTGGTCGACACAAAACGGCCAATAATTACATAGAAACAATTCAAAAGTGGAAATTAAACTGTAAAATTAACTGAAAATTACCAAAGGTCTTTAAAACGTGGAACCCAATTAGACGTTAAACCTGCTCAAGTTAAATTAACATCCGAAAGTCCAAATAAACCTTCGAAAGTCCAAAATAAACCTTCGAAAGTCCAAAATAAACCTTTGAAAGTCCATATAAACCTCGAAAGTCTAGTTCAATCCTTGTTGTCTAAACTGCAAGTCCAAACCACTCTTACATCTTAACTAGACTAAAAAAAAGAAGAATGAATAGAAAGAAAATTGCATCTAGAAACCTTTATAAAATTCAAATAAAAAAAAAATCAAATTATAATATAGTATCCAGACATAAGTTCAGAAGTCTTGACAAATTAAACTATTATTATTATTATTGTTGTTTGTTTTTATAAGCTTGAATAATACAATAATCCTGGGACACATTAAGCACAGGTAAAATCATTAGAGCCAGTACCTGCCCAGTATGCCAATAGTACTGCAAATATCTGGACAGGGCAAGTGAGGGCCCATCTAGTTCCAGCGATGGGGTGGGGGGGGTGTGTTTACCCACGCCGCTGCCGCCTTTAGGGTTAGGGTGGTGGGTGGGGGAGGAGAGGTGAGGAGGAGGGGAGGAAGGAGCCAAGATGCTGATGTCCCACTGTAGCTCGATAGCGTTCCCTTCCTTACTCCATCGACCTGCGGAAATGATTCGTGCGTTAGTTTTGCCGTTGTCTTCGGACCTGCCAGAAACTACAACTGCTACTACCACCTCTAGAGTAAACCCTAGACCAGCCTGACTTACCACACCCAACCTAAGTACCCAAACAAAAGACAATCTGAGTAATGATTAATGGATACCATAATAAAATACGTCAATAATAATAAGCATAAAACACAATCTCAAAACACAATTACAAAATTGAATAGATTTAACCAATATTAGACTAATTCCTGTAACCCCAGGCCACTATTGGGAGCATTTTGTCTTATTGGGAGCATTTTGTCTGTTATTGTGAGCATTTTGTCTGTTATTGTGAGCATTTTGTCTGTTATTGTGAGCATTTTGTGTTATTGTGAGCATTTTGTCTGTTATTGAGAGGACTATTACTGGGAGATTATAAACTATGAACCTTAAGTAAAAAGGAAAGTTCGCTATATTGAGGGTTCGTTAGATGTTAAACCCCCATATAACGGAATGCATTGAGGGAAGTCTGCTATATCGAAGGTCTAATACACGCAGAAGCCCCCATCTACTTGGCAAGTTCTGGACAAAAATTAGTTTACGTATAAAATCGCAGTACAGTATGGGGACCCCTGAGCACACAGATTTGAATCTATTGTCCACAAGTCTGATTGGGTAATTAGTGGTCGTAATTAAGCTTGGAAGATTTTAATTAAATTTTAATGCTAATTACTCACTAACTATGGGTTTCCGAGGTGCGATTTAGGTGTTATAGTATTCTGAAGATAATTAATTAAACCTCATGTGACCACCACCACTCAGGACCCTACTTAGATTTAACCCAACTTCAGCCAATCCATCAGACAGACAGCAATGAACTTGGCCCATAAACTCACACAAGTTATAACGTTTTACAGCAAAAGTCTAAAAATCCGGACCACCCGAGAATCTGGACCTTTCAAAAACTCAAAGTTTTTTTTAGTTGGCTTTTGTGTGTACTGTATGTGCGCATGCGTGAGCGCCACAGCTGCACAGTGACAAGTGCCCACGCGGTCGCCACTTTAAAACGGGCAATCAAACTGTGACAATGTATGTAATTTTGAATCCTACTCTTTCCATTTACAGAGTACTGTACAAGCCCATAATAATGGCTCCTAAAGTAGATAAACTTCGTTGTGTGAAGAGAAAGAAGAACACGTTGAAATTGAGTGACAAACTTGAAATAATTAAGAAACTAGAATGTAATGTGAGCAATACTGTTCTAATGGAAACATACGACATTGGAAAGTCTACAATTTATGATATAAAAGAGGCAAAAAATAAAATTCTAGAATTCACAGCTTTTTCTTTAAAACTGCCCGTTTTGATAAATGAAGCAGGCTATATTTGCTAATGAATAAACTATCAAAATGTACCTGTTCATCTCTTCTTTATTCCTCCTTAAATTTGAATTTTAAAAGTACTGCCCGAGAATCCGGACCGACCCAATCCCCAAGCAGTCCGGATTTTTGGACTTCTACTGTATATTGTTGACTATTTATACTTATTTAACTGTTACATTATCATAGTTACTTACTCTTAGGTGATGAAACAGTAATGTCTGTGAAGAATATTCTGTTAATAAATATTGCTTCACTCACCATAAACTTGGCTGCATCTACCTGAGCCACTGGCCTCATTAAAGAAAATATCTCTATCACTCTACGGGCCGCACAAACACATGGCCTGGGCTGTGGGTTGGCCATGCCTGCATTAGGGAGTTGAATTATCAGGTAATACAAGCCGAGAGACCACAGGTAACTCTACCCCTCATTAATCACCTACACACGGCAAGGCAAGGGGGGGGGGGGGTTTTTTACCTGGAGCGTGACCTGGATCTCGACTTGCTGCGGGACTTGGACCGAGACCTTGACTTGGACCTGGAACGAGACCTGGACCGCGACTTGGAGTGGGACCTAGATCGGCCCATCTGCTGCTGCTGTTCCTCCTCTACGGCGGCCGACTCGTCCATCCCATTCTCCTTATCCTGTTTCTCGGGCGATTTTGATTGGCGCTCGTCTGGGGTGCGGGAACGGCTCTTGCTTCCAGAGTGTGACCTCGAACGAGAGCGTGAACGACTGCCGGACCTGACGAGAGGAAACAAAAAATAACTAAAATATACCGGTTACATAAATATATTTCACGCTTCTGGAACAATAAATAAAATATATTGGCTACATAAATATATTTCACACTTCAGAAAAATATCACAAGTTTTCAAGAATAATAAAAAATACTTGGATCTTTACCATGACAACCCAAAGCGTTTTACTTGTCTAAAGGGAACTAGACACGGAGACTAAATATAAAGATTAGACGTCTCTTGAGCATTGTAGCTGCAGCCCAACGCACACACACCTCCCACCCCAACACACACACATACACACACCTACCCCCCAACAAACACACACACAACCCACCCACCCCACCATACAGAGCTGGCACCATACTCCTACCTGGACCTAGAATGGCGCCTGCGTGACCTCGAACGAGACCGCGACCTCGAACGCGACCTCCGACTTCTCCTCCGCGACCTTGACCTTGAACGTGACCTCGATCGTGACCTGGAATTATCCCTGAATGTCAAAACGTTCAGGGGGGGATTAAAAGGCAGCTTTAGTAAACAAAAATAACACGGAGGTTCAGCGACGACTACACATGCTCATTATACAAAGGGGGTCTATAGGGGTGTTGGGGGGGGGGGTTACTTTTATAAATCTGAAGGACTATAACGGGGAATATTTAATACTAATAAAGTGGGTTGCCATAGTTTCCCGTCGATCTCCAGGTCGAGGTTACCCTGGGGCCTATAGTTGACTTATATATCAAAAGGCCCCCCCCCCCTCCCGTCGATGCACCGCACAACTTACGAAACGACGGAATCTTCGGAACAACCATTACCCTAATACTAACCCAACCTTACTTAACACTCATCTAACCTAACTTACCAAACACTAACCTAATCCGACCACCCTAACACGGCCAGCCTCAAATTTACGAAGGTTCGGTTACGAGAAAATTATACCCCACGACCAAATAAACCCAAGTTAAAAAATTTATAATCGCCATTTTCCTACAGTAATCACGTAAATACCAATATGACTCGCTAATTCCCTAAACACTCACGATGTTTTGAGTCGACCAATAGCCTTTTGACGAGGTTATTAAATCGACCAATAGGCTTTCGGCGTCTTGTTGTCATTCTCCTACCAACACCGCCTCTCACTCTGCTCCCTGTACGGTGCTGTGGACAGACGGACACGCACACGCAAGCACACACACGCAAGCACACACGCAAGCACACCCAATTGTCTCTACATCCAAATTTTCCTCATTAATTCACATATATTAATGATGTACAATAAAGCTGCAGAGAAATGAGAGAAAGTAGGGGCTGGACCTGAGGGAAAGTAGGGGCTGAACCTGAGAGAAAGTAGGGGCTGGACCTGAGAGAAAGTAGGGGCTGGACCTGAGGGAAAGTAGGGGCTGAACCTGAGAGAAAGTAAGGGCTGGACCTGAGGGAAAGTAGGGGCTGAACCTGAGAGAAAGTAGGGGCTGGACCTGAGAGAAAGTAGGGGTTGGACCTGAGAGAAAGTAGGGGCTGGACCTGAGAGAAAGTAGGGGTTGTACCTGAGAGAAAGTAGGGGTTGGACCTGAGAGAAAGTAGGGGCTGGACCTGAGGGAAAGCTTAAAGGCAATACATTTCCAGCTCCGCACGTGATGACTTGGAGGTGACGACCGTTGATATATTACTCTGGCATAGGGGGTGTTTATGTTTACAGACTGGAAAATAATACGACAGCGGAACTTTTACATTAACGGACAACATGGAAAGAAGTCCACACACACTCAATTCTCTCCTCACTCACTCATCAAAATCTATAGTTCCTGTACTAATACTGTACATGTGGGCCCCATAGATGCTGTAGTGTGGGGCCCCTAGTTCCTGTACTTAACATACTGGGCCCCATAGTTCCTGTACTAACATACTGGGCCCCATAGTTCCTGTACTTAACATACTGGGCCCCATAGTTCCTGTACTTAACATACTGGGCCCCATAGTTCCTGTACTTAACATACTGGGCCCCATAGTTCCTGTACTTAACATACTGGGCCCCATAGTTCCTGTACTTAACATACTGGGCCCCATAGTTCCTGTACTTAACATATTGGGCCCCATAGTTCTTGTAATGACATGCTAGGCCCCTAATTCCTGTAGTAACACATACTGGGCCCCATAGATGCTGTAGTATGGGCCCCTTAGTTCCCTGTCCAACAGAAAAAATAAATAATGACACTGTAATCTCACCACACATGGCTGCCCCCCCACCCACAGCCAATCCCCCAAAACGAGCAAAAAAAGAAGAAAAAAAAATCTAACTGCAAACGCTCATTAGACCAATCACAGGAGAAAGAGGAGCAGTTTCAAAGCGCCGTTTAGTATTGGGAAACGACCAATAGGATAATTTTAAAGGAAAAGATCACCGACAGGAGATAAATATCACACTCGGGATTTTTATTTGAAGATTATTGGATCCGTTGACTAAGCTCTGCTCACTTTAGGGTCCGAGTGAGACACCAGGTTTATAATCTCAGGCGTTTATTGTTTGAATCTTACGGCATTTGTTTAAATTTCAGGCGTTTATATAAAAATTTGTGGCGTTTATTGTATTTGTTGTTATTTAAGTCATTTCTGTGTTCTGGGTGAGGATCTGTATAGTATGTGGGTAGGTGGATGTATGTGGGTAGTGGGTGTATGAGGCTGAATGGATTGGTGGATGTATGTAAAAACTAGCCACATAGAGTAACCAAAAAGACGACAAACCTCACTCGGTAAATTATAGTTTCGTCGACGTAAACAAATAAATAAAATACTGCGGACAGAACAGAGCTTAAATCACCGCCATCTACAGTGACCTTCAAAAACACGACGACCGATCGGATGGTTAGGTTGAAATCTTACCATTAGGGGTGGGTGGCGATAATGATCAACAACCCAGATAACCCTAATGGCACCATCCGAACAGTGCCACTAACTACACTACCATGCCCTATATAAACCATTCACACACGGGCCCTACTAAAAAACCCCCACAGCCGCCGCCCACATTTACCGACGACAACGGATAATCTGGGCGACGGGTTTTAGTCTGTTTATCTAAAGCTCTCGCACGACACAACGACCTCACGAGTACCGTCTTCGCCGTCTGCGGTGTGGGGGCGTTTCCGGCCGGCCATAGCGGGCCATCTGTACGCGCAGCTCCCGGCCATCCAGGCGTCTACCGTCCATGGCTTCCATTGCGTCCTCTGCATCCCGCCGGTCATAATACCTGTTGGAGAGAGAGGGGGTACGGGGGGTTAAGGTAAGGCACATATTTACTGTTCAACCTACAGCTATGGGGGTAAGTGGGGGGGTGGGTGGGTAGGGGGTAGATGGGCGTATAGTCAAACCCCAATATAATGGATTATATATGGTAAGGAAAGTCCATTATATCGAGGGTCCATTGGATGTGAACCCCCACATAACAAACAATATGGAGAGAAGTCCATTATATAGAGGTCTCAGGATAATTATTGTAGTCATTTAATTTTGACGATGAAAATATTTTTGTAGGTTTTTTTTATTTTGAGGAATGTGAACTTAATTGGTGTTTAATTAATGATACAAGACTTTTAATGACTAGACTTAACCTAATCTAACCCAAACCAACCAAACCTAACTGAACCTGACCTGACCCAATCTAATCTAACCCAAACCAACCAAACCTAACTGAACCTGACCTGACCCAACCTAATCTAAACCAACTTGACCCAATCTGGTATTTTTGTATTAGTTCACACAACATTCCTGACCCAAATCTATTATCATATTCGAATAAAACGTCACATTCTAAGATATTTTTCCTCTACTGTATTACATTTCCGTCGCAAACGTATAATAATCGACACACAGTAGGCCAGATATTTCTCTATTTTCTTCCATTAAAATTCCGCCATTATCGCCTACCCAATCTCCCACTCAGATCAGTCCCTTCATAAATAGTCGTGTGTTCCCGTACACGTCATGCGCCCAATCGGAAGCATCTTTTATTGGCCACAAAATAAAATAAATCGTGGTTTCTGCTTTTACAATTTGCGGTATTTTAATTTTTGCCCCAATCAGATTCTACAGTAAAAGTCCAAAAATCCGGACTTTTCGAAAACTCAAACTTTTTATATTTAGCGGGCTTTTGTGGGTTATGTGAATGAATGGAGTTGCTTTAAAAAATTAATTTACATAATTCTAATAATAAAAGTAATTGTAAATTATAGGTAGCTAATTTTGTTAGTTTTGTAATTAGCTTGAACTGAAATGTAAAATTTGAGGCACTATAAATCTTTTGTGTGTGTGTGCATGAGTGAATGCCACAGCTACACAGCGACAACAAACAACCACACGATCGCCACTTTAAAACAAGCAATCAAACTGTGACAACGTATGTAATTTTGAGTCCTACTCTTTCCATGTACAGAGTATAGGCCCATAATAATGGCCCCTAAAGTAGATAAACTTCGTTGTGTGAAGAGAATGAAGAGCACATTGAAATTGAGTGACAAACTTGAAATAATTAAGAAACTAGAATGTAATGTGAGCAATGCTGTTCTAATGGAAACATACGACATTGGAAAGTCTACAATTTATGATATAAAAAAGGCAAAGAATAAAATTCTAGAATTCACAGCTTCTTCTGAGCCTTACATTAAAATTGCTGAAAGAAAAAGTTTACATTGGCCCAAATTAGAAAATCTTGATAAAGTGTTGCACGAATGGTTTTTGTTAAAACGATCAGAAGGTATGGCAATTTCTGGGCCGATGCTTATTGCCAAAGCAAAGTCTTTTAAGGAGCAAATGAACATTGAATCAGAGTGCGCATTTAGTGATGGATGGCTTAGGAATTTCAAGACTCGTCATGGTATTAGACAGTTTGTTTACATTTTTGTCTAGTGTTGACTTTATTTTTCTTTAAAACTGCCCGTTTTGATAAATGAAGCATGCTTTATTTGCTAATGAATAAACTATCAAAATGTACCTGTTCATCTCTTCTTTATTCCTCCTTAAATTTTAATTTTAAAAGTACTGCCTGAGAATCCGGAAAATCCGAAAATCCGGACCGACCCAATCCCCAAGCAGTCCGGATTATTGGACTTCTATTGTATAGTGATTTTGGGTCTGATATTTAGAAATTCTAAATTAATTGCTGACCATTGAAGTCTACGATGGTTGTCACTTCAATTGTGCCTTTGGGGGGGTCAAACAAGCCAAAGCATTGTTTAGACCTCCTGGTGTTTTCCCGACCTCAGTAAAGTGTCCTTTGGATAAGAACGAGTGTGAACGTCAATATCAACATAAGCAAGTTTGCGGATGACACCAAAATAGGATGGCAGATTAATTCAGGGCAGGATGCAGATGCATTACAGGAGGATCTAAATAAACTGCAGGGGTGGTCTGAGAAATGGCAAATGAAATTCAACACCAGCAAGTGCAGCGTACTTAATACTGGAAGAACAAATACTGACAATGTATACAGCCTTAACATCAACCTAGAGAAGTCGACTTGTGAAAGAGACTTAGGGGTACTTGTAAGCCCGGACCTACGGCCTAGAAAACGGTGCGTTAATGTTCAAAATAAGGCAAACAGAGTATTGGGTTTTATATCTAGAAGTACCAGTTACAAGAGTGCAGAGGTCTTATTGCAACTATGTCTCCCACTAGTCAGGCCGCACCACGATTATGCGGTTCAGTTCTGGTGCCCCTATTATAGAATGGATATCAATTCACTAGAGTCGGTGCAGCGAAGAATGACGAAAATGATTCCGGGACTTAGAAACCTTCCATATCAGGATAGGTTAAAGAAACTTAACTTGCATTCCCTAGAAAGACGAAGAGTGCGGGGAGATATGATAGAAGTATTTAAGTGGGTGAAAGGAATCAATAAAGGGGATACAGTGATCCCTCGGTTAACGATTTACCTTCCATAAGATTCTTAACTTCGGTTAACGAGCAATCCCTCAATTAACGAGTTTTTAACGAGCCGACTTGAACATGTTTTCGCTTGCATTTGGCGGTTCACCAGCTGTAGTATTAGTCCGCCAATACAGTAATCGGTTTTAGGGCTTAAATTCCTTACTATTTTAGTAAATATCAAGAAGTTTATACTATTCAATAATTTTAAAAGTTTAATATTTACTTTTTAAGTCATTTTAACAATTATTGAACATAATTGAAGGTAAAGAAACTAGTTTCTGGCGTGCCATCCAGCCTCTTAACACACCAGACAGGCGTAAGTCTCTCTCTGTTTTCACTGGAGGTAACATCTTGCTTGAGACTCTTCAACTAAATGCTTTTTTTCTGTTTCCAAGCAAATTATTGGCCATTTTGAAATATATTTTACATATTGACAATATATAATGCAGTGTTGATTTAAAGAAAATAATCTTGAAATACACCAAAAGAGCTAAAATTTTATGGGTGAAATGGTGCCATGGGGTGACTTCTCTTCCACCCCAATGCCTTCTCTTCTTCCTTCTCCTCCACCCCCATTCTAATTCCCATCATCATCATCATCCAGGAGCCTTCTACCTACACACCTCATAGTAAGTGAACTTTTCTACCTTTTTGTTGGATTTAGGCAATTTTCGGTGAGGTGGAACCAATTACCCAAATACCCATTGAAACAATGGTTTCGGTTAACGAGCAACCTGCTGGAACGAATTGTGCTCATTAACCGAGGGACCACTGTATAGATAAAGTTCTTATAATATCCGAGCAGGATAGGACTCGGAGCAACGGATTTAAGTTGGATAAGTTTAGGTTTAGGAGCGAGATAGGAAGAATACGGTTCACAAATAGGGTTGGTGGACGAGTGGAACAAGCTTAGCAACTTTGTAGTAAGTGCTGGAACGCTGGAAAGTTTCAAAAGGAGGCTGGATAGATTCATGGATGATGGAGAGTGGTAGTAACTCTCGACAGGCGGTCCGACTAATTACCCAAATGTAGCCGCAATGAAGTCAAATGATGGTCGTACAAGCGTAAATCGGGATGTGAATCACTTCTCGATTATTATTTGGTGTCATAAAGTAAAAAAAAAATTGGTAAACTTAATTTAATCTGAGTAGTGTTGTGTTAGGTTAGGTACATGCACGCGATTTATTAACTCAGATTAAATTAAGTTTACCAATTCTTTTTTTGACTTTATGACACCAAATAATAATCGAGAAGTGATTGGTAACCCGATTTATTCATCTAGGACCATTAATTGACTTCATTCCGGCTACATTTGGGTAATTAGTCGGACCCCCAGACCGATAGGGTAAGGAACAACAGTGATTCCATTATGGTGTAGGTCAGGTCAGGTCACGTTAGGTTAGGTCAGGTCAGGTCATTCCCCCAAAAAGGTTCCTAGTTATAACTTTCTATCAGTCGTGTGAACTATTATTAATTTACCGGTAATTTAAATAATAAACCAGACGCGTCAATAGTTATAAAATAAATATTCCTACGCCATTAAACACCATTAAATAGATATAATAAACTAATAATAATTAAAACAATGATAATAAACCATAAAAAAACCATAGAAGAATTAATAAAGTAATAAATTAAATACCAATATTATTCCTACGCCATTAAAAGACAATATAAATAACCACATATAATAAACCTTAATAAATTACTAAATAAAACAATGATAATAAGCCATAGAAGAATTAATAAAGGCATAAATAATAGAATAAAAAAGACACCGGCGCCATTAACTCACCTGACGAAGGCAAATCCACGACTCTCACGGGAGAATCTGTCTCTGGGGATGTACACGTCGCCTATCTCGCCATATTTCTCAAAGGAACGACGTAGATCCTCGGGTGTCGTCCTATAGGTCAAATTATCCACTTTAAGAGACGTCATGCCCTTGATGTCAGGAGGTCCGCGTCCGTAACTCATGGTTCCTGTGGTTATTTCGACGTTCCTGGAAGCTATATAGGGACTTGGGAACGTTTATTAGGGTGTCGTACGGGTTTTCCTTCACTAGGTAGGGGTATTAGATCACTCCGGCTGGTTTAACGCGGCACAGATGGATGATATAGGATGGATTATGGCGCGGCGTCCACCATCACATCTCCTCACCCCGACAATGTTCTATAAGTCCATAAGCTATTACCATCAGCGTCCTAGATTTAAAACAAAAGACAATCAAAACCCTCAATAAACTCTATATTCCATTAATATAAAGATTCAAACTCTTTAAAAATAATACTGAATCCTTTTAAAGAATTAACGCCATCTATAAATAAAATTAATAAGTTTGACAATTGTTTATTCTAACGTCTATAGCACTCTGGCTTGACCACATGCCGGGAGGTTTTGGCGGGAAGCGTCGAGCGCATGAGCGACCCAAGACGTAATGGCGGACTAATTTATCCTCTCCTTGGTTCATATCCATTAATTATCTCCAATAAATCCACAATTATATTTCCATTACACATAAATTAAAAAATTATTAACCTTAACACCAATATGAATACAATAAATGATTTTTGAGCATATGAGATCATTTTATTTTAATCTTAATATATTCTGATAAAAATAAATAACAATAAAAATAAATATAAGTATTTATTTTAATTTATTATAAGTTATAAAATTAGTAATATAAAATGTATATTAAATGTGGCGTGGTCTTATATATACTCCGCCCTCATATAACATTCAACTAAATATTATAAATAGAATAAATAAATAATTCATAAATTATAACTAATAAATAATTAAACAAATATTCATCAAAAGAATCTTCATAAAATAATAATAAAAATAATAATATCATTCCTGAATTCTACTCATTTCTTCATTATTAAGTAATTTAATTTAATTTACATAAAAAATGATATATGGTTAATTAATATATAATATAATAATATATATAAAATAATTCAATACTTTATTATTATTATTAAATTGATCTCAACAAGTTGGTTCAAAGTTAGTGAGGCGGTTAACAGTGACCCCAGGGAGCCTCTGACTGCCGGACCAATAGCCTCTACTGTCCTCCTGTGTCGCCCCTGGCCAGCCACACTGTGTCTCTTGTGTACGGTAACTAATGTCCTTAGTCTTTCATCATTCTCTACTGCTTCAATATAACATATGGGCTCCAGATGAAGTCAAATAATGGTCGTACAAGAGTAATTCGGACTGTTAATCACTTCTCAACTAGTATTTGGTGTCGGCCCAGTCTCATTTAATCCCATATGTTCTGTTATGTCATTTACTGTACTCATATAACTGTTTATCTACTTAATTCCATATATTCCTTTGTTATTAATAAATCTGGGCCAAATTACAAGAGCTCTATCCCACCCTATTGTTTTAACCGATATTATTGCTGATATATTTATAGCTAAATTGAGTAAGTTATATAATTTGGATAGGTCTAAATTAATTCAATAACATTATATTGAATTAAATATTTAAACATTATTTTAGACACCATCATTGGTCGACTGTCAACGCTACATGATAGCTGACACAAGAGCTTGTCGCATCTTAATCAAGAATTTTTCCACGAATCCGTAAGTTATCCATAAAATAAAGTAATTTTGAAGCTCTTTAATGTATATAGTAACAGTATAAGTGATTGTTGTCTTTAATAAAGGTATATTAAGAGAATAAATAAGATATAAAATGAACTTCCTCTTACCTCATGGATACGAAATTCAAATTTTATAATTTTTTTTACATTTACTGCAATAATTTATAAATATAGTTAATTGGAGTCATTTACAGGTTGTCTCATATTTATGGTATTATTGCGTTTACACACCGTTCATTCCTACAACTAATCTATTTATCATATTCGAATAAGACGTTTAATTATAAGATCATTTTCATCTATTATATTACCGGCACAAATGTATAACTGATAGCAAATCCCAAATTATCTCGACCCATTAATCTCCCGGCATGTTCGTCGACCAGCCCCCCCACATGGCGTCTCCTTCATAAATGATACTACGCATGCGTGCCAGTACACCTCAATCGACCAATCAAGAGCGTTTTTGTCTTTTGGACCAATTAACATGGTTTTGGGTTCAAGTCGCAGTATATTTGGACCAATCAAATTCGAGCATTACTTTGAGTCGTATGCAGAGTTGCCAACTTAGCGACTTTGTAGCTAGATCTAGAGCTTTTTGTTTTTTCTAGCGACATTTTAGAGCGATTTGCGACTAGAGATATCCACGCCAAGGTCGCTGGCTGGCGCGGAGGAGGTGTTGCTTGCTGGTGGCACTGTAGAAAGAGGCTGGTCACAGTGGTGTCAGGCCTTATAAGGCGGGGGTAGGCAGTTGACCCCCGCTCCGTGGGCGGCGCTGGAGCGTAGGCTGGGGAATAAGAGGTTCGGGGCTTGTAGGGGAGGCGTCCGACTAATTACCCAAATGTAGTCGCAATGAAGTCAAATAATGGTCCTACATGAATAAATCGGACTGCCAATCACTTCTCGACTAGTATTTGGTGTCACAAAGTCAAAAAAATTGGAAAACTTACTTTAATCTGAGTTAATAGATCGAGTGGATGTACCTAACCTAACACAACACAACTCAGATTAAATTAAGTTTACCAATTTTTTTTTACTTTATGACACCAAATAATAATCGAGAAGTGATTCACAGCCCGATTTACGCTTGTAAGACCATCATTTGACTTCATTGCAGCTACATTTGGGTAATTCCTCGCCCCCTCGGTACATGCACGCGATCTATTAATTCAGATTAAAGTAAGTTTTCCAATTTTTTGTGACTGTGACATCAAATACTAGTCGAGAAGTGATTGGCAGTCCGATTTATTCATATAGGACCATTATTTGACTTTATTGCGACTACATTTGGGTAATTAGTCGGACCGTAGGGGAGGAATCACTACAGTATGAAATAGGTGATTCCATCGTATGGTGAGAGTAATAAGTTAGGTTTGATTTTTGTTTTTCTAGTGTTTTTTGGTGTATTTTGCCATGATTTTTTTTTCGGATAACGTCCAACGAAAAAAATTAAATAAGTTAAAATAGATTCGTTACATTACTGTTAGATTAAGTTAAACTAATTATTTTACTGTTAGGTTAAGTTAAATTAGCATTTGGTTGTTTAATCATCAGGTGAACAAATCTAAATTATTCCTAATATTAAGATAAGTAATCCATTTAATCTAACCTTTACGAATTATTTCTCACCCGACAGCTTATTTCGTCCGGACGTAACCATGGGGATGACTCGGCCAATTCACACCAATACCCCAGTCAAGGGTAGTGGTGGTCGAAGGGAAGTCAAGGCTGTTGGACGAGGGGCGTTGGTCGTTGTGGAAGGCTGCGACCGAACGGGCAAGACGACACAGGCCAAGATGCTCGTCGAGTCTCTGAACAACATTGGAAAACCGACGGTCTTTATGCGGTTCCCAGGTGAGGTACTATGGGGGTCACCTGAAAAAATATCCACCCTAGATGTAATGGACTTTCATCTCTATATACGTACAGTAAAACCTCGATTAACCGACTTTCGGATTTTTTTTTTTTTTTTTTAAATAAATAATTGGGCACTCCCCTACATCCTTGTGTAAGGTGAAGCGCAGAAGCATTTACAGCGCCCAACAGGGAAGCATGCTAATTTCATGCTTGCCTTTGTCTCATGAGTTAAGGGAGTAGAAGCCTGAAGAGTCAATGTCCTCAAGTTATTGGAAGCTCCAACAACTTGTCCTTGAATACGAATTCGCAACTTTCGACTTACACCAGGTACCTACTTTACTGCTAGGTGAACAGGGACTAATGGGGGCTAGGAAGTATGTCCAAACAACTTCCACCGGCCCGGGAATCGAACCCGTGACATCTCGCATGCGAAGACAAGAGCGGTACCCCCCTCCCCTCTCTTTTTTTTTTTTTTTTTTACACGGGTATTAGCCCACCCGTGCACAGGTCACTGACCCACATCGGGGCCTGGGGGGCGATAATGTAATAATGATAATGATGATAAAGAACCATAAAGAAATGCAAAAAATGAAAAAAAAATATCGAGTGAGAAACTATGTACCTGTATGTATGTTGTGTTGTCAATAGTAAGAGAAACAATTGAGACCCTGCAATTGTGTGTAAATGAGGCAGAAAGTCAGATCAGCAACCTGGGACTTGGTCACAATTTTTGTGATATGTCCTTTGACTTTTTCATTTTTTATTCACGGTTCCTGTGCTGGTTCATATTTATTTACTAAAGTGGTTAATGTTTTAAAGCAAATTCTATTGAAATATGAATGGCAAATGAACAATAATGAATAGAGGGACTTAAATGAGATAGGTTACGAAAAGGTACTTTGAAAATGTATGTTTTATTTCCGTAGACTTTATGTACTATTAGCCGACCTTTTGGATTATCTGTCGGCCCCTTCCCCCTATATGTGGTCGGTTAATCGAGGTTTTACTGTAGTTCGTTACATAGGGGTTTTATGTCTGACGGACCCTGTAATGGACTCCTCTCTATTGTGTGTTACATGGGGGTTAGGTTGAATCCGTCGGTTAATCCCCCAATTAACCGGGTTGTTCACATAAATTTAATATTGGGGTTTTAGTAACGAGGCCCTATGAAGTATCCTTTGTTTATTATTAAAGGATTATGTCTATAATTCCCGAGTGTAGATCAACCGTAAGTTCCACCGGTCCGACTAATTACCGAAATGTAGCCGCAATGAAGTCAATTGATGGTCGTACAAGCGTAAATCGGGCTGTGAATCACTTCTCGATTGTTATTTGGTGTCAAAATCACAAAAAATTGGTAAACTTAATTTAATCTGAGTTGTTAGGTTAGGTACATGCACTCGATCTATTAACTCAGATTAAATTAAGTTTACCAATTTTTTGTGACTTTGACACCAAATACTAGTCAAGAAGTGATTGGCAGTCCGATTTATTCATGTAGGACCATTATTTGACTTCATTGCGGCTGCATTTGGGTAAGTAGTCGAACCCTAAGTTCCACTATTTATGAGTGAACGAGAAAGAGGACGGCGTTTATGTAAATATAAACGTAGATCACGTCCGGTCGGTACCAGTCGATGTGAGTGACCGAGCAAGGAGCGTCGCCCCTAGTGCACGCTTACAAAGATGCTGACATATGGGCTTGTCCCTCTTGGGAAAGCTACCGTTCACGTGTACAACACACGTCTTACTCATAGACAGTGGAAAGTTACAGGGGTGAATCTGAATATAATATCAGATGTATTGATCCATTTATATAACATGTTCTGTTGACGAGACAGGGGTCCATTACAAGGCTAAGTCAGTCCATGTTAATTTGAATAGGTTAGGTTAGGGTATTATTGCATTTACACACCGTTCATTCCTACCACTAATCTATTATCATATTCTAATAAGACGTCTAATTATAAGATAATTTTCATCTACTGTATTACATTACCGGTGGTAATGTATAATAACGGAGACAGCTCTTCCCCAAAAATTCTATTTTCTTCCATTAATTCCCGCCATTATCGTCTGGCTCTCACCCAACACTGCTGTCTCTCGCGTCTCCTTCATAAATCATGACGCTCATGTGTACCCATACACGTCACACGGCCAATCAAAAGCGTTTTTGCTAATTCAGAGTATATTTGGCCCAATCAAATTCGAGTTTTATTTTGGGTCTCATATATTGAAATTCAAGTTCAGTTCCGACCATGGAAGTCTGCGGTGGATGTCACTTAAAGTATATGGAGCTGATTGCAAGATTTTTGGGGAAAAAACGTAGAAACTATAGCATTTTTTCAATCACATGGTGTTCTTCCAACCTCAGTAAAGTGTATTAAGAGCAAGACTGAATGCAAATATTGCAAAGACCAACATATGTGACGTGTAAGAATCCCAGAATCCAACGACGAACAAGAACCAGGCCAATAAGGTAAGGAATAGGTGATTCCATCTTATGGTGAGCGTCAGTTAAGTTAGGTTAGGTTTTTGTTTTTTTGTGTGTGTAGTTTTTAGGCTCTTAGCCACTTTTTTTCGGAAAACGTCAAACGAAAATAATCGCTAAAAAACCCGCTAATATCCGCCTTAAATGAAGGTCATATTCGGACTCGACACAAATACACTAGAAAAATATATTTTTTACTTGCTAAAAGTGAACGGTGTGACAATGCAAATTTACCCAGGTTAGTTTAGCTTAAGTTAAGTCAGCTCGGGTTAAGTCGGGTCCAACGAATTACCCAAAAGTAGCCAAAAGTATATTAAATGAGGGTAAAATCTTGAATATCTGTTATACATACGAAAAACATGTCTAATAATATTTTAGTGTAATTTTGATAAAAATAATTTGTAAGATGAAATAATAAACGGCGAAAAACTTTCAGTATTGGCGAACGCTAAATTCCAAAGAGTCGGTGAACAAGGGCGATACTCAGATCCATGGTGATGCACTTCACCAAGTTCCGTATAAGGTCGGAGTGCCGAGTTTTGACGAAGGAAGATATTCTGCTTTGTTTATATTAAACTCAGATATGTACTACACTTACTGTATATAATCGTCTACCCCCCCCCCACCCATGCGCTATGCGTTTATAGGTCGACCCTGATTTTTTGACCAAGAAATCGTTAATTTACGATATTCATTGTTTATAGGTCGACCCACATTTTTTAGAGTAATGGAACAACAAAACCTTCAGTAAAAATGCTCTACGTCCTATAAACTGAGGCTCGCTGTGCCTGAAACACGAGTGCCGAAGGCAAATTGTTTACCATTTATTATTACGACACTTTACACTGAAACGCGGGTAGTTTCAACAAATATATTGCTTATTTCCATTCAAAATAGTGTATGTTTCCATTAAAGTATTTTTTCAAGTCTATTTGGAGGGAATATTATTGTAATACAACAGTTTTTTAACTGAAAACCATTCGAAAAGCGATTGCAGTAACATCTTTTGAACGAAAGAAAGCGAAAGTCATTGTTTTCGTCACGATTTTATCCCACTTTCCACTGTAATACGTACGCCATTTCAGCAAAAATATTACATTCCGTGAATGTATTATATCAAGCACAGTATGAATAGAATATCATTGTAATATAACAGTATTTTAACCGAAAACTTAAAAAAATGAGTAACATCTCAAGAACATCGGAAGCTTAGGTAAAGTCTTGTTTTCGTCATGTATTTTATTCTATTTTACATTGAAATACATCACGCTTCAGCAAAACTACTATTTCTGAGAATATATTCATTCAGGCGCGGTTTAGGTAAAATATTCATGTGGTGTAACAGTTTTTTAATTGAAAACGATATGAAAAACATGTACCCTCTAGCCCTGTTCAAGGAGAGGACTGGGAGGAGCTGTTTGGTGCTGATGACAAGGAAAATGATTTTGATGGATTTTAATGAAAATATTCAGAAATATGGTATCGTAGTATTTATTCAAGTGAATTAGGATAGAATATTATTGTAATACAACAGTTTTTTAACTGAAAACCATCTAAAAAAGCGATTACGGTAAAATCTTATGAACAACGAAAGAAAGCGAAAGTCGTTGTTTTCGTCATGATTTTATCCCACTTTCCACTGTAATTTACTTTTTACTTTTATCCTCTTCGCCACTGATCGGTTTGTTAGCCGCCCGGGCGATCGGTCACGTCTCTGTCACTCACTGTTGGCAAATACTGGGCATGCACCGGCTCCTGAATGTACCTGAACCCGCTTCAGCGTTAGTCAAGTCTTCTCTTGAAAGAGCTCACACTCGGTGCCGTCACAACACTCTGGTAGATTGTTCCAAGAGTTTACAGCTCACACTCGGTGCCGTCACAACACTCTGGTAGATTGTTCCAAGAGTTTACAACCCTCACTCCGAAAAAGTTTGCCTTCACAGTTTTCTGGACTTGTGGTTTCTTCAATCTTGAGCTGTGACCCCTTGTGGGGCGAGCGTCCGCCAGCTCCAAGTAAGGACACTCAACTGAGTAGTGCCCCCTGAGATGCTTATACACCTCAACTAGGTCGCCCCCTTGCCCGTCTGTAGTATAAGCTAGGCAAGTTCAGGCGCTCCAATCTCTCAGGGTAGCTGAGGTGCCGAAGTGCAGGCACCAGTTTGGTGGCCCTCCTTTGAACATTTTCAACCAACTGACAGTCCCTAGCATATCTCGGGGACCAGACGGGGTGACAGTACTCCAGATGGGGAAGCACTTCACTCCTGAAGATCGTTACGAGGGACGGCCGTCTAGATATGTGAACGACCTTCTTATAAGACCCAATAATTTATTTGCCTGATTTACCTTCTTCTCACAATGGCCCGAGAACTTCAGCTCATTGTCAACATACACACCTAGGTCCTTCTCACACACAGTCTCAACTAGTGTGTGAGAAGGACCTAGGTGTGTATGTTGACAGGGAGCTGAAGTTCTCGGGCCATTGTGAGAAGAAGGTAAATACGTACGTCATTTCAGCAAAAATTTTACATTTCCATATTTATTTCTGAAAATATATTCATTCAGTCACAGTTAAGGTAAAATATACTTGTGATGTAATATTTTAATGAAAATACCCGGTATTTAGAAATACAGTATCGTAGTTTTCTTTTGTTTCAAATTTAATAAACAAAGATTGATGTTTCAAATGTAATGAACAAAAATTTATCTATATAAACAAAGTTATAAAAAATGAATACATTGTTTTACCTGGTCTTGTGCTACCATACCATACATTTGGCTTGCTACGATGACACAAGAGATCTGCCCTGGCAACTGTACCGACTCACAGCCGGTGGTGCGTCGTTTCCATTGTTTACTGGTAGTTACTGGTAAATATTTTTCAACCTAACGAAACTTACCGGTTTAGAGGTTGACCCCCAATTTTTTGCCGAAAAATGGGGTCGACCCCCAATTTTTTGCCATAAAATTTGGTCTTAAAAACTTAACTACACACAGGTGTATGCGGTAAATAGGGGGGAGGGGGGCAGCAAAAATATGAGGATTCTTAACATTCGTGGGTATCTGTGTTACCTAACCCCCGCGTATGTTAAGGGCCGACTGTATGTACACTCTAGGCGCAGCTGTCTTTATGTTTAGTAATATATCCTCTGGTGTTTTGGTAGTTGACATTTGACTATTGTGATTTGTTTTACTTGATATTGATCCAGTGTGATCTTGTTTGACATTCAGTTCCTACTTAGCCACTTTCAAATACTGCTCCTCCCTGACTTTCGACAGGGTTAGGCACCCAAATCCAGGTCTTAAGTCGGGGAGGAGCTGTATATTATTATTGTTCACGTCATTCTATGTTTTGTACTGTGGTAGAAGGAACGAGTTAATGTATTTTTTATTGACTTGTTTGGGTTTTGAGTTTAGTTGAGAGAAGGTTGGATTAAGAATATAACAATAAATACTGATATATTTGAAAGACTCGCGTGATCTACCTTAAGGTCGGAACACCTCCTAACCCTTGACTTTACAGATAGGGACACACCTATCGGGGGGATCATCGACAGGTACCTCTCTTGCCAGCAGGAAATGAACGACCGCTCTATTCATCTGCTTTTCTCGGCCAATAGGTGAGTTGTGGGGTGTGTGGGTTAAGACTAGTGTACAGTATTGTGGCGGAGATAGCCAAAAATAGGTGAGTGGCAGTCGGCCCAAAGTCTCTCTCATTTAATCCCATAGGTTCTGTTATTATATTAACTCATTTCGCTTCTTACACGGACCTCTGGGTTTAATTAACAGCGTAAAACCAGACTATACTGTATATATACACCAAAGGTACAGTATATACAGTATATTGTACATATATATAAACAATGTATATACCTCATAATCGACCAATCACAGTTACCCGAGGCAAAAGTAAACTTTGCTCATGGGGTCGTGTCTATAAAATCTCCGGGAATTATTATTTTATTTATTTATTTATTTTTTTTTTCAGGTGGGAATCGTTGGCTAAAATAATGTCGAACATCAAGGAAGGAGTAAACGTCGTCATCGATCGTTACGCTTTCTCTGGGGTCGCCTTTTCTGCAGCTAAGGAGGTTAGGTTCAATGAGGAGTGGGGTGTGCTTGGGTTTGGTTAGGTTGTGTTAGTTTAGGTTGAATTAGAGTATACAGTAGTTAGGGTGTATTGTACATTATAAGTGTATTCTCATGTAACTCTTCTACAGTACTAAGAATGACCCCAAAGCACATGTAGTCAGACACAGGTCTAATGGTGGCTGACATTTGGTTAATTTTTCTTGTTGTTTCCAAGGTGTAGTCACTAAGTTATATATTACTTGTCATTAAAACTCGTTTATTCTTTTCTTAATTTACAGTTTATAATTTGTTTTCCTGACATATTGTAATTTTGGTTGAATTTTCTGTAGCCATATTGCACCACTTTACCTTATTTCTCTTTTATTCTACGTGTTTCTGTTCGGGTCTTGGGTCTTTGTAGATCATCCTGTAGCGTGGCAATATCTCCGTCTTTTTTGTAGACTGTGTCGTCGGCAAACATTCTATAAACTGATCAGACGGCAGGTCAATGCGGTACTAATTTACGTTAATAGTTAATATTATTCTCGGATCAGGTCAAGTTATGTTAGGTTAATATTATGCTCGGATCAGGTTAAGTTATGTTAGGTTAATAATATTCTCGGATCAGGTTAAGTTATGTCAGGTTAATAATATTCTCGGATCAGGTTAAGTTATGTTAGGTTAATAATATTCTCGGATCAGGTCAAGTTATGTTAGGTTAATATTATGCTCGGATCAGGTTAAGTTATGTTAGGTTAATAATATTCTCGGATCAGGTTAAGTTATGTCAGGTTAATAATATTTTCGGGTCAGGTTAAGTTATGTTAGGTTAATATTATTCTCTGATCAGGTTAAGTTATGTTAGGTTAATATTATTCTCGGATCAGGTTAAGTTATGTTAGGTTAATATTCTCTGATCAGGTTAAGTTATGTGAGGTTAATATTATTCTCGGATCAGGTTAAGTTATGTGAGGTTGTTTATTTTCATGTTAGGTTGAGGTGCTTAATCACCGGAAGCAACTTATAAACTCTTGACTGAAAAATAACAAAATTCCCGGGAGCGTAACATTTGTCTCTCCTCAGGGCATGACGTTAGACTGGTGCAAGAAATGCGACGTTGGTCTACCAAAACCCGACCTGGTGCTGCTCTTCGACCTGACCCCAGAGGAGGTACGGAAGAGGGGTCAGTGGGGCGAGGAACGATATGAGAAGGAAAGCGTTCAGAGGATTGTCCGCGAGAACTACAACAAGCTGATGGATAGTTCGTGGAAGGTAAATATATACGAGTTGTGTGCCTGAAGGGTGATCCATATTGTCAGGTGATCCATGGGCCCTAATTGTCAGGTGATCCATGGGCCCATTGTCAGGTGATCCATCCATGGGGCCCATTTGTCAGGTGATCCATGGGCCCTAATTGTCAGGTGATCCATGGGCCCTAATTGTCAGGTGATCCATGGGGCCTAATTGTCAGGCGATCCATGGGGCCTAATTGTCAGGTGATCCAACTTTAAATGCAGCTCCACTGTTCTTGTTCATTTTTATAAATTTTCAAAGGTATAAAAACATAATTATCTTCAATTTCTTCATTAAAAAAATATTTGTCTTCAATTTTTTTAATAATACTTAAGTCATCAATTCATTAGAAACAAAATTTACCATCAATTGTCTTTGTTACGAAACAAACTGAGTTCTTCAGTTCTGTTTTTGTCTCCAGGTCATCGACGCCAACAAGACGATTGATGATTTACAAGAGGAAGTGAAGGCTGAAGTCATCAAGACAATAGACATCGCTAAGGATGAGAAGCTGAAGACGCTGTGGACTGAGTGAAGACGTCTACTGATTGTGACAATATCCTAATGTCTCTCACACTCCCTTTTCTTAAGAATTTTTTACATGTGTGTCTGTGTGACCTATAAGACTCGCCTCGTACAGCCCTTAAACTAAATACCGTCGGAATTCCCGTTGCCACGTCTTGAAACGCTGGCCGAAATACTTTTAACATGAGCCCCATCGTTGTAAGTTGGTACTCCTGCTGGCCATAACAACGGCTAGAGATGGGCGGGTGGTCTTTCATGTGGGGCATAGTAGTTAATATACCAGGTAATACGTTAAGGTATATTAATGTAATGTATAGATTAAATTGAAGTGTTTGAGAACATAATAGCTGAGATTAACTACAAGCATAATACGTCTGATTTATGAAGAGTGGCTGTACTAGTCTAGTTAACAGCTACGGTAATTTTGGGTCTACGTGTGATCTACCACGTTAATGATGTGTGAATTGTATTGCTTTATCGTTGAGATAATGTTTGTAATCACGGGAGTTGTGGTGCTTGGTTAGGTTAGGTTAGGTTAGTACTGTATACCACTCCCACCTCTACCATTCACTTCTGGGGCTTACAAAAAGTTGAACATATTATGACAAGAGAATAATTCATTTTACTGTACAGTGCTACACTAAAAGAACAGATAATGTAATGTAGAAGCTAAATTTTTATACATTACAAGAATTACTTTAATCTTTCCACTATTAATCATCAAACTTGTTTCTTTAAAGTAGTGATCTCACTGTACCTGTATGGCGGGATATTTTCACACCCTATTGTTGTAGTGTGTCCCTAAGACGACCCAACGCTCCAGTAATATTTGTATCCCAATCTTAGTCTCATTATAGCAGTGTCAACAGATGGTAGGTTAGTCTCATAAGTTATACAAATAGTGCTGAAAACTCTCACTTCATATGGCAATCACTTCACTTACTTTTTCCATTCCTCTCTTTTTCTTTTCATTCCCTCTTTATCGTTCTAATACTCACACTGCTAACAATATATATATATATATCCAAGGAACGACGACGACCCGAAAGTGCCCGATGTTTGGAATAATACGTTTACGAAAATTTTCTTTTAGGGACTGCCATGATCTGTGAGGACATATCTGAAATTAAGATTAATATTTTGTCACTTTAAATTCATATACTCTTGTGGCACCAATCCGAGTGTCAGATAACTCCCTAATTATGTTTATATATACAGTGGGGTATGCTATAACGAACGGATCCTACTACGAATATTCCTATAACGAACGGTTTTACCTATAAGATTGAGAATGCTATAACGAACGCAGATGAATACGGGACTATTTCGTCTGGCGCATGAATATTGTTTTACCGCTGCTCACAACAAGAGCGTCAGGCGCCATATTGGTTCATTGTGTGGTCAGTGCACCACTGAACTTGTTGAAATTTCGTCTTTTGATGTGGAAATTCTTGTCATTTTTATAACTATTTTGTTTTACAAGTATACAATTGTAACAATGAGTCGTCAAAAGCGAGTGAGAAAGCTAATAACCCTTGAAACTAAGAAATAAATTATAAATAAACAGACAAAGTGCCTGTAAGACAGTCACCAAAGAGGGCTAGGAAGGGTGACTCCTCTTCTCCATAATTCTCTCCTCCCCCCTCCTCCTCTGCCTCCTGTCCTGCATGCTGAACAACACTAAGGTAAGATAAAGTACCGTATTTTTTTACAATTTCCACAAATTTTTCAGTGTTTAATTTGTTGTATTTGGGGACCTGGAATGTATTAATGCTATAACGAATGAGGTTCTAGAACCAATTAGATTCGTTATAGCATACCCCACTGTACATCTTTCCTGCAGCTTTTTGGGCCGATTTGTCAGCCATTCATTTAAAAGAATCCCCACATGTGATTGATTGATTTATTGATATGTTTATTGAGATACCCAAAATATATATACAGTACAGGTAGTTGTGCTATAACGCGATAATTGTGTTCTTGTAAAATATCGTGTTATAGAAAATCGCGTAATAGAAATAACAGGACTTATGGAGAAAATAGGGTTAAGTGCAGATTACTCGAAATCGAAAAAATTTAGTAGTTAGCCTAACACAAAGGATAGCACAGTCTAAATAAATGTTACATTCATATCTAATAATGAAATCATACAGTAAATGTAACACTTTACCTTGAAAATATATGAATGTAACTTGATGGGGGAGAAGGGTGATTTTGAGGTTGATAACATCGAGCTTCTTTTCAAGTGTTATATCCTTTCTTTTACGATCATCACCGGGAATTCTATCACCAGAACACTTCTTGGAGATATTCTTCTTTACCATATTCACAATTAATACCACAAAATTGGAGAAATAGTAAGCAAAAATCGCGTTATAGCAAACAAGCGTTCGCGTTATGCAAATATCGTTCCTAATTCATAAATCGCGTTAGAGCAAATTCGCGTTATCAAAACACGCGTTATAGCAGAACTCACTGTATATCTCTCAAAGGGATGAAGTGACATAAATCATCCCAGTCCAGGAGTGTCCCTGTCAACTCACATAACACAGATATATCTCATATAATCAATTATAGTACATAGTTATAGTCTAGATGCAAAGTTTATATATTTCTTTAATACACCTTCTTTCATTTGCAATTGAACAATTGACCACTTGCCTTTAACAATCAAGATTTTGGAAAGACAAATTTCTATTTGCTTTCAACTATTTTCCGAATCCATTCAACAATCAGTTATTTTGATTTGACAATTTACAAAACCTTTCAACAGCCACATATCTCCGATTGCTTTCAACAGTCAACCAAACTTTTCAACAATGCAACTGAAACAATCATCATTGAAAAGAATTTATTCAACAATCTTTAAAATCAGTAACAGCCATGAATATTTAATTTTTGAGTATACTTACACACACATCAACAACACAATGAATTCTGGTATAAACTTATGTAATTATGTAATGTCTTTAGTCTTTAGTATGTAGTAGCTACATAAAACATACGATTGCTTAAAAAGAAACAAAGAAAAAAGGGCCTTATACTAATAGCTAAATACATTGGTGTCATGATACTCCCACGAAGCAATTCACAGTAAAGGCCTCGTACACCTTGGTGGGTTGTTTCTGCCTGGCTGTAAGGTAGGGATGGAGGTAGGTGAGGGTGGGAGGGGTAGTGGGATTGGGGAGAGGAGTGTCATATCAGCATCCTGTTGACTTGCCTTCCTCCTCTGCCTCACGAATAGTAACCTGTCAGGTAAAAAAGAACCCATGAGTGTATAGAAGGTTTCTGTTGTGAATTGTTTCAAGTGGAACAAACGGTAAGGCAGTAGGTTATACTCTATTACTGTAGACCTACTGTATATCAATTGAAGATGTCTCGGCGCTCAATACATTGAACCAAGTAGGTGTTGACATGGTTATAGTTCTGCGACACAACATGTTCCGTGACACTAGGCAGTGCAAATTCCACGCCAACTTGCAAAATGTTCTCCCTCAGTGCATTGAGAGTCACTCTTTCTTGCCTGGCGTGGGCCGCGTTGCACCGTGGAGCTTCACGGTGGAGGTACTGCTTCAGGTATGATTTAAACACAGAGAAACAGTTTTCTATGGGGTTCAAGCAAGGAGAGTATGGAGGGAGAAATTTAAAATTCAGCTCGGGATAGACTGCTGCGATACCGTTGTGAATTGGAGCGTTGTCTAGAACAAGTATGGATCTTGCGTCTCCGATTATTGCTGCAAGTGATGCGATGAAATCACTGAATACTTCCTTCGTCGCTGAACCATAGTGAATTTCGTGATAGAGTATTCCACAGTGTTCAGCTATCGCAGCAATCACTGTCGTGTTTCTGCCAAACCGTCCACCAACGGCGCGATGCACACGCTCCCCGCGTCTTGCCCTGCCGTACGTCCTCTTGGTCCACAGATTGAACCCTGGAAATGAAACATCAGTGTATGTAGTCATACTGTAATGTAATTAAACATTAACACAAGGAAAGTTGTACGATGCATCAAACTGAGATCAATATTAAGTACTCACTCGTTACATACAGTTTACTTAAGTAATTATGTAGTACATACTACAGATAGTTGATAAGTGGTTACATAATTACATACCTGTCTCATCAATGTATACTAGTTGCTGCTGTAGACCCGTCGCCAGCGTGTCTCGCCTCCTTTACTGCGGGAGAATTTCTTTCTGCTGGGGAGTCACGGGACATTTTCAGTGATATCAGCTCCCCCTCCAAATAACGCAAAAGCGTTACCTCACTGAAATGTGGTTTTGTAGGAAATATATCCATGACCTCCTCCTTTATCTCTCAAGGTCATCATAGGGTTTGCTTCAAGCAGCATCACTATTAGATCCAGAGTTTCATTGTCGATGATCTTGTGTCTGCCTCCTGCGTGAGCCTCTTCAACCCTGTTGAACTCCAAGGGCTGCTGCAACTACGAGGAAATCTTGTTCGGCTCTGTAGGCCTCGATAATGCGATCACGATCTGTAGCACTTGTTATTCGGTGCCTCCGTGGCATGCTGGAGGGGCTCGGGGACGAACTGTATACGGGAGAAGCTGCACACTCGTAATGAAAATACTGAGTGTGTAGCACACCATCTCGACTCTGTGATTCGTTACTTGCTTCAAAAGTTCGAATTAGATCAACTAGTCTTTCGATCTACGAAAAACACCAAAACATAAACTTTTTGCATAGTTATGGTGTTTTAAAGATTGTTACTTAGTTTTGAAAAATGTTGAAAGTATTAGTGAATTGTCAATGAAGAATGAGACGATTGTTGAAAGCAAGTAAACATTGTCACGTGTTGAACGACTGTTGAAAAGTTTTGGATGATTGTTGAACGGAAAGTAAAGATTGTTATTAATCAAGTGTAAGAATGTTGATTCCATTCGATGATGTTGAAACCAAAGTAACATTGTTCAATTGCAATTAAAAAAAGGTTTATTTCATCTATTTTTCTATTTTTAAACATCCATTTTATTTGCTTGGGGACATTATTCATCAAGGCATTTGTATATACATTAAGAAGTGGGTATTCCAGTGTATAATATGGCAGGGTATGGGATCTGGAAGAGCTTCAGACCCCCACCATCAAAATACCTCCTTCAGGGGAGTAATGAAGGACTTATACAGCAGTAGTACCAGTAGCCTGTTGAGCTTTAAGTTCTTGATAACACTGCAAATGTCTCTAGAAGGGATCTTGTACCTGTCAAACACTCCATGTCGTATGCCATCAGCACGAAATCCATCATCACTCACTTCACCATCACGTTCCATATCGTGTAAGAGGCCAATGTCTGTGATCTGGCCTGACCTTCGTACTTTGTGGTGGGAAAGTTTGTACTCTTGGATGCGATTCTTTTTAAACTTTTTGTTTTGTAATCCAGACTTCTGACTGGGCTTTGGAGTCTTTTATTCCTGGATGACCCATCTTTCTGCATTAAATATGAGATGATTGAGTTCCTAGCACGGAACAGTCGAGAAGTACCACGAAAACTCAAACTACCCACAGCTATGAGGAAACTTTAGTCACACTAGTTGTCCCTGCTCCACAAAGTTTTTTATATGCTTTCTCTGCATTTACTTCAATGATGTCCTCGGTGACTGCATGTCCATGTACTTTCTTGGACCATTGCCTTCACTCTCCATAATATAATTTTTTTGCATAATACCTGAATATGTACCGACACCTCAGTCCTCTTGGAGTATATAGCGTTAGGTTAGGTTTGAACTAGCTTGATGTTCGGAAGTATTTCCGCACTCTACCTGGCGAGATGTTCCCAGCTCCTGAGGTTAAGGTGGACCCTCTCTCCCCCGAGGACTTTTCAAAACACATTAAGTCTCGGTAATTTCCATGAAGGTCACCTAGAATATAACATGGCTAAGCCAGCCTTAAAAGACCTTCTTGCTAATGCCTCTGGGTCCATCTTGAGGAGGTTTTGTTGGTGCTTTTGTTTGTACTAGCTTGAGTGACACACCTTTAACATAATCACCAAGAAATAGGTAGTTTGCAGGTGCAAGTCCTGGACCCACTCTCCAGAGGACTTCAAAACACATTAAGTCTCGGTAATTTCCATGAAGGTCACCTAGAATATAACATGGCTAAGCCAGCCTTAAAAGACCTTCTTGCTAATGCCTCTTGAGTTTAAGGTGATGGGGACATTATTCATCAGGGCATTTGTATATACATTAAGAAGTGGGTATTCCAGTGTATAATATGGCAGGGTATGGGATCTGGAAGAGCTTCAGACCCCCACCATCAGAATACCTCCTTCAGGGGAGTAATGAAGGACTTGTACAGCAGTAGTACCAGTAGCCTGTTGAGCTTTAAGTTCTTGATAACACTGCAAATGTCTCTAGAAGGGATCTTTTACCTGTCAAACACTCCATGTCGTATGCCATCAGCACGAAATCCATCATCACTCACTTCACCATCACGTTCCATATCGTGTAAGAGGCCAATGTCTGTGATCTGGCCTGACCTTCGTACTTTGTGGTGGGAAAGTTTGTACTCTTGGATGCGATTCTTTTTAAACTTTTTGTTTTGTAATCCAGACTTCTGACTGGGCTTTGGAGTCTTTTATTCCTGGATGACCCATCTTTCTGCATTAAATATGAGATGATTGAGTTCCTAGCACGGAACAGTCGAGAAGTACCACGAAAACTCAATCTACCCACAGCTATGAGGAAACTTTAGTCACACTAGTTGTCCCTGCTCCACAAAGTTTTTTTATAAGCTTTCTCTGCATTTACAAGCACAGATTGATCAATGATTCCCAGCATGGCTTCACAAGCGGACGCTCTTGCCTAACTAATCTATTAACATTCTTTTCATCAGTTTTCGAATCGGTGGACGAGGGGCACAATTATGATGTGGTATATCTCGACTTTAGCAAAGCCTTCGACAGAGTCCCCCACGAAAGACTAATTAGAAAGGTAGAAGCACATGGCATCAAAGGTGACATCCTTAAATGGATTAGGGCGTGGTTACAGGACAGGAAACAGCGAGTGAGCATTAACGGCACTAAGTCCCATTGGAGCAACGTCACAAGTGGTGTTCCCCAAGGCTCAGTACTTGGACCATTATTATTTATTATATACATAAACGACATAGATATCGGCATAGACAGCAACATAAGTAAATTTGCTGATGACACTAAAATAGGACGTGTTATTAAATCTGACGAGGACTCGGCAAAACTACAGGAAGATCTAAACAAATTTTTCGAATGGTCTGAAAAATGGCAGATGAAATTCAACGTCGACAAATGTAAAGTACTCAGTATAGGAGATGTAAACAGGGAAACCAGATACCAGATGAACAACGATGCCATAGAGAAATCCGACTGCGAGAGAGATTTAGGAGTAATGATAAGTAGGAACCTTAAACCAAGTAAACAATGTGTTTTTGCTCGTAACAAGGCTAATAAAGTACTTGGGTTCATACAAAGGAGTGTTAGTTACAAGACTAGCGAGGTCATCGTAAAACTGTATCTTGCTCTTGTGAGACCACACCTGGACTACGCAGTTCAGTTCTGGTCACCGTATTACAGAATGGATATAGAATCCTTGGAAAGAATTCAGAGGAGAATGACAAGACTAATCCCGGGCATTAGGAACCTTGAATATAGAGACAGGCTAAAGCATCTTAGTTTGCACTCCCTCGAGAGACGTAGAGCGAGGGGCGACCTGATAGAGGTGTATAAGTGGAAGGCAGGGCTAAACAAAGGGGACATTACAAAGGTACTCAAACTATCCAACCAGGAGCGAACTCGTAACAATGGTTTTAAATTAGATAAATTTAGATTTAGGCGTGAAATCGGTAAACACTGGTTTGGAAACAGAGCAGTGGATGAATGGAACAAGTTACCAAATATCATCATTAACTCGAATACGCTGAATAGCTTCAAACATAGGTTGGATGCTTATATGAGCAATAAGGGCTGGGTGTAAACGGGACTGCCCAGTATGGGCCAATAGGCGCGCTGCAGTTTCCTCCATTCTTATGTTCTTATGTCCTCGGTGACTGCATGTACTTTCTTGGACCATTGCCTTCACTCTCTCCATAATATAATTTTTTTGCATAATACCTAAATGTGTACCGACACCTCAGTCCTCTTGGAGTATATAGCGTTAGGTTAGGTTTGAACTAGCTTGATTTTCGGAAGTATTTCCGCACTCTACCTGGCGAGATGTTCCCAGCTCCTGAGGTTAAGGTGGACCCTCTCTCCAGAGGACGTTTCAAAACACATTAAGTCTCGGTAATTTCCATGAAGGTCACCTAGAATATAACATGGCTAAGCCAGCCTTAAAAGACCTTCTTGCTAATGCCTCTTGAGTTTAAGGTGATGGGGACATTATTCATCAGGGCATTTGTATATACATTAAGAAGTGGGTATTCCAGTGTATAATATGGCAGGGTATGGGATCTGGAAGAGCTTCAGACCCCCACCATCAAAATACCTCCTTCAGGGGAGTAATGAAGGACTTATACAGCAGTAGTACCAGTAGCCTGTTGAGCTTTAAGTTCTTGATAACACTGCAAATGTCTCTAGAAGGGATCTTGTACCTGTCAAACACTCCATGTCGTACGCCATCAGCACGAAATCCATCATCACTCACTTCACCATCACGTTCCATATCGTGTAAGAGGCCAATGTCTGTGATCTGGCCTGACCTTCGTACTTTGTGGTGGGAAAGTTTGTACTCTTGGATGCGATTCTTTTTAAACTTTTTGTTTTGTAATCCAGACTTCTGACTGGGCTTTGGAGTCTTTTATTCCTGGATGACCCATCTTTCTGCATTAAATATGAGATGATTGAGTTCCTAGCACGGAACAGTCGAGAAGTACCACGAAAACTCAAACTACCCACAGCTATGAGGAAACTTTAGTCACACTAGTTGTCCCTGCTCCACAAAGTTTTTTATATGCTTTCTCTGCATTTACTTCAATGATGTCCTCGGTGACTGCATGTCCATGTACTTTCTTGGACCATTGCCTTCACTCTCCATAATATAATTTTTTTGCATAATACCTGAATATGTACCGACACCTCAGTCCTCTTGGAGTATATAGCGTTAGGTTAGGTTTGAACTAGCTTGATTTTCGGAAGTATTTCCGCACTCTATTTGGCGAGATGTTCCCAGCTCCTGAGGTTAAGGTGGACCCTCTCTCCCCCGAGGACTTTTCAAAACACATTAAGTCTCGGTAATTTCCATGAAGGTCACCTAGAATATAACATGACTAAGCCAGCCTTAAAAGACCTTCTTGCTAATGCCTCTGGGTCCATCTTGAGGAGGTTTTGTTTGTGCTAGCTTGAGTGACACACCTTTAACATAATCACCAAGAAACGGGTAGTTTGCAGGTGCAAGTCCTGGACCCACTCTCCAGAGAATTGACAGTCGACAGGTGAAGGTTGGGAAAACAGCCCACGAGTCCAGGACCTACTGTATGATGAGATCATAGCCAGAATTTGACGGGCAGCCATTCTCACTTCTGTCCAACACACACAGCCACCCAGGTGTTGGTCGCACCAAGAGGGTTAGCAGCGGTAACAAGCAGGAAGATAGTTCGTTCGCTAATTCAGGTGGAACAAGAATTAGCAGAAAACATCGCGTCCCTTGGGTCTTGGTGTGTGTCCACCTGATATGTGGTGGTACCACAAGGTCTTTAGTGTACTTGCTGTTATATGTGATGTAATTTTGGGCTGTACTCTTTGGTCTGATATTCAATCAATACAGCCTTCACTCTCTCCATCTCCATAATATTATATTTTGCATAATACCTGAATATGTACCGACACCTCAGTTCTCCCGGTTTTCCTCAGTCACTTGATCCATTGTAACTAGGTACTGGTCTCCTCTGCCTCACGGGGAATCTGTTTGTAGGCCGATCTTCCGCACTTTCGCAATCATTTTCATCTTCATCATCTGAACCCGAGTCCGAGGAAGAATCATAAGGTGGAAGTAGGGGCTCATTCAGCTGAACAAGCATGTCTGTACTTACACATTTTTGTACTTTCTCAGCCGCTCTCTTTATCACCTCACTTTCATGCAATGGGTTGGTCAATTCCTACTCGTCTCTGTAAGTTTCTTGAAGAGAAAAAAAAAAGACAGATTAGGGCTGCATTCGCTCAGTGACACACTGTTACCTCTAGACCTGTTAGGGGATTACTGGCCACTTCGCCTGACGGCTATTTCGGCCGAAGCTTTTTGTTTGCAGTCATTTTCTTTGGACTTCTTCCTTTTTTCCTTTTACTTTTAATTGCCATTCTTGTTCTGGTACACATTTTTCTGTGGTCTTGTTGGGGTCTTGAATCTTCTTTTCTTCGGTCTTCACTACAAGGAGAGCCTCCTTGTAGCTCAGGTTTTTCTTGCTTGGCAGTTTATCCACCCTACGCTCCTTCCTCCACTTGGGACACTGCCGGTCGGAGGAGGAGGAGTGAGGGCCACTACGAGCTGTGCATTTCTTGTTGCCCTGTCCAGTTGCCTAAAGCAGTTGGTGCCCGGGTGTTACAGACCTCCCGAGCACGACACTTCTCCCCCGCCAGATGGCCGTACCCATTGGCATTTGTAACAACTTATTGGTCTTCTTTCTTCATGTGTTGAGATGTTCTCCCATCCCAGCAAAGTGGTGCTTGGTAGCTTCATGAGGTAGCTAACCAGCCGAACAGACGTTCTTGTAATAATGCCACTCTCTTCTCAGCTAGATGGTCGGAGAATGTCGGCTTATCATCGATGACTACCCCTATATCCTTCTCTACAGTGGTTTACACTCAGGATGGGGTGGATAAAGGAAGCTCACAATGTGCTCTGTATACATTTTGTATTGGATGTACCATGTACCTGTCTCTTTTTCTTATTGGCTTCACTCTGGTGGTTGCCTCCATTTGTCAGTGACTGGCAGTGTCACCTCTTTCCTGGGCAAACACACAACACCCTGGGTTTCACGCACTAACAACTGCACCTGTCATTCGTTTTTCATGGGATTATATTAATAGTGAAACAACGTCACGAAAATTACCATTACATTCACTTTGGGAATAAGAATATCCAAGAGTCGGCCATCTCCACGTGTACCCTAGGACACACAACCAGGGCCGTCGTATGAATACACTATCTGGAAGTGGCAGTAGGCATGATTTACCTCTTATAGCATTTCCTCCTTGAATCTCTCCATTTCTCTATTGGCACCACCAAATGATACTGAGGAAAACTACCCACAGCTATGAGGAAACTTTAGTCACACTAGTTGTCCCTGCTCCACAAAGTTTTTTATATGCTTTCTCTGCATTTACTTCAATGATGTCCTCGGTGACTGCATGTCCATGTACTTTCTTGGACCATTGCCTTCACTCTCTCCATAATATAATTTTTTTGTAAAATACCTGAATATGTACCGACACCTCAGTTCTCCCGATTTTCCTCAGTCACTTGATCCATTGTAACTAGGTACTGGTCTCCTCTGCCTCACGGGGAATCTGTTTGCAGGCCGATCTTCCGCACTTTCGCAATCATTTTCATCTTCATCATCTGAACCCGAGTCCGAGGAAGAATCATAAGGTGGAAGTATGGGCTCATTCAGCTGAACAAGCATGTCTGTACTTACACATTTTTGTACTTTCTCAGCCGCTCTCTTTATCACCTCACTTTCATGCAATGGGTTGGTCAATTCCTACTCGTCTCTGTAAGTTTCTTGAAGAGAAAAAAAAAAGACAGATTAGGGCTGCATTCGCTCAGTGACACACTGTTACCTCTAGACCTGTTAGGGGATTACTGGCCACTTCGCCTCACGGCTATTTCGGCCGAAGCTTTTTGTTTGCAGTCATTTTCTTTGGACTTCTTCCTTTTTTCCTTTTACTTTTAATTGCCATTCTTGTTCTGGTACACATTTTTCTGTGGTCTTGTTGGGGTCTTGAATCTTCTTTTCTTCGGTCTTCACTACAAGGAGAGCCTCCTTGTAGCTCAGGTTTTTCTTGCTTGGCAGTTTATCCACCCTACGCTCCTTCCTCCACTTGGGACACTGCCGGTCGGAGGAGGAGGAGTGAGGGCCACTACGAGCTGTGCATTTCTTGTTGCCCTGTCCAGTTGCCTAAAGCAGTTGGTGCCCGGGTGTTACAGACCTCCCGAGCACGACACTTCTCCCCCGCCAGATGGCCGTACCCATTGGCATTTGTAACAACTTATTGGTCTTCTTTCTTCATGTGTTGAGATGTTCTCCCATCCCAGCAAAGTGGTGCTTGGTAGCTTCATGAGGTAGCTAACCAGCCGAACAGACGTTCTTGTAATAATGCCACTCTCTTCTCAGCTAGATGGTCGGAGAACGTCGGCTTATCATCGATGACTACCCCTATATCCTTCTCTACAGTGGTTTACACTCAGGATGGGGTGGATAAAGGAAGCTCACAATGTGCTCTGTATACATTTTGTATTGGATGTACCATGTACCTGTCTCTCTTTCTTATTGGCTTCACTCTGGTGGTTGCCTCCATTTGTCAGTGACTGGCAGTGTCACCTCTTTCCTGGGCAAACACACAACACCCTGGGTTTCACGCACTAACAACTGCACCTGTCATTCGTTTTTCATGGGATTATATTAATATTGAAACAACGTCACGAAAATTACCATTCCATTCACTTTGGGAATAAGAATATCCAAGAGTCGGCCATCTCCACGTGTACCCTAGGACACACTACCAGGGCCGTCGTATGAATACAATATCTGGCAGTAGGCATGATTTACCTCTTATAGCATTTCCTCCTTGAATCTCTCCATTTCTCTATTGGCACCACCAAATGATACTGAGGAAAACTACCCACAGCTATGAGGAAACTTTAGTCACACTAGTTGTCCCTGCTCCACAAAGTTTTTTATATGCTTTCTCTGCATTTACTTCAATGATGTCCTCGGTGACTGCATGTCCATGTACTTTCTTGGACCATTGCCTTCACTCTCTCCATAATATAATTTTTTTGTAAAATACCTGAATATGTACCGACACCTCAGTTCTCCCGGTTTTCCTCAGTCACTTGATCCATTGTAACTAGGTACTGGTCTCCTCTGCCTCACGGGGAATCTGTTTGCAGGCCGATCTTCCGCACTTTCGCAATCATTTTCATCTTCATCATCTGAACCCGAGTCCGAGGAAGAATCATAAGGTGGAAGTATGGGCTCATTCAGCTGAACAAGCATGTCTGTACTTACACATTTTTGTACTTTCTCAGCCGCTCTCTTTATCACCTCACTTTCACGCAATGGGTTGGTCAATTCCTACTCGTCTCTGTAAGTTTCTTGAAGAGAAAAAAAAAAGACAGATTAGGGCTGCATTCGCTCAGTGACACACTGTTACCTCTAGACCTGTTAGGGGATTACTGGCCACTTCCCCTGACGGCTATTTCGGCCGAAGCTTTTTGTTTGCAGTCATTTTCTTTGGACTTCTTCCTTTTTTCCTTTTACTTTTAATTGCCATTCTTGTTCTGGTACACATTTTTCTGTGGTCTTGTTGGGGTCTTGAATCTTCTTTTCTTCGGTCTTCACTACAAGGAGAGCCTCCTTGTAGCTCAGGTTTTTCTTGCTTGGCAGTTTATCCACCCTACGCTCCTTCCTCCACTTGGGACACTGCCGGTCGGAGGAGGAGGAGTGAGGGCCACTACGAGCTGTGCATTTCTTGTTGCCCTGTCCAGTTGCCTAAAGCAGTTGGTGCCCGGGTGTTACAGACCTCCCGAGCACGACACTTCTCCCCCGCCAGATGGCCGTACCCATTGGCATTTGTAACAACTTATTGGTCTTCTTTCTTCATGTGTTGAGATGTTCTCCCATCCCAGCAAAGTGGTGCTTGGTAGCTTCATGAGGTAGCTAACCAGCCGAACAGACGTTCTTGTAATAATGCCACTCTCTTCTCAGCTAGATGGTCGGAGAACGTCGGCTTATCATCGATGACTACCCCTATATCCTTCTCTACAGTGGTTTACACTCAGGATGGGGTGGATAAAGGAAGCTCACAATG